TATTAAAAAGAGTTAGACTTCTTGATCTATTGGTCTCTTGATCAGAATGTTATGTTTCTGTCTCTTATTACCTTCTTTAGTTTGAATGCTATTTAGTTTGATACAAGTATGGCCATCTTTAATTTTTACTGTTTGCCTTCTTGATTATTTTCCTTTTAGTCTTGGCCCATGTTTATCATGAGAGTTCAAGCCCTGTGTCTCTCGTAAATAGCAGAAGGGTTTTTTTTTGGTTTTTTTTTGTTTGTTTCCTAATTCATCTAACCTGTCCAGTCCAGCACAGCGAGTAGGACGTTTGCCTTGCATGCGGCTGACCCGGGTTCGGTTCCTCCATCCCTCTCAGAGAGCCCAGCAAGCTACCGAGAGTATCCCACCCGCATGGCCGTCTGATGAGCTTCCCGTGGCGTATTTGATATGCCAAAAACAGTAACGATAAGTCTCACAATGGAGACATTACTGGTGCCTGCTTGAACAAATAGATGAACAATGAGAGAACAGTGCTACAGTGCAATTCATCTGGTCACTCTGTGCCTTTTGATAAGGGAATTCATAGAGAAATTAGTGACCAAAGAGAATTTGTTGGCTATATTTCTATGAGAATTTGGGATTTTTTTAATTTGATTTTTTTTTGATGTTTCTTCTTATTTACCAGCATTTTGATGGTAGTTGTGCCCTCCGCCTTTAATTTAAATGGCGTCCACAGAGGACAGAGAATGAAAAGAACACATCACAGCTGTGAGACAGGCAGCAGAGAATGTGGAATATGGTCTTTTATGTAATGATCTGCTTCTGTGTGCCTCTTCTATTTTTCACTTAGAGGTTACCTTCAGTTTATATCTGAAGTTCTAAACTCGTATCCTTATTCAGGTTTAAAGCATGTACATCTGGCACTCAGACCGAATCTACTTAAATACTCCCTTCCACCTTCCCCATTTTACAACGGTGTACCTTTGTGTTTCTGATTGGGGTTTCCTTGCTTTTTATAGAAAACCATCTAGTGTTTCTTATAGATTTGGCTTAGTGACAACAGATGTCCTCAGCTGTTATTTGTCTGAGAATGTTTCTATCTCACCCTCAAAAATCTGAGTGATTTGGTAGAGGATTCTCGTTGGAGGTTCTTTCCCTTCACAGGAGGTTCTTTTTGTTCAGTATTTTGAATGTTCCCCTTTAGTTTTTTGCTAGTAGAGTTTTTGTTTGGGAAATCTGATTGGGATTTCTTTACTTGTGAGTGAGTCTTTGCTTCTCTCCTGTTACCTGCTGTACTATTGCTTTGGCCCCTCTCTTCAATTCATACTATCTTGAAAAGTGTCTTGGTGGTTCTGTTTTTTTTGGGGGGGGTTGGGCTTTATTTTATTTGAAATTCTTTGTGCCTCCTGGATCAGTGTGTCTGGCTCTCTCCTCAGACTGGGGACATATTCAGCTATAATTTCTTCCACTGGCAGTTTTACCCCTTTCTCTCTTTCCTGTCTGTTATTTCTATGATGCAGAGGCTGTTCCTTTTAGTGATGACAAATATATCTACTCTTTCTTTACGTTTTTAAGTTCTCTTTTCTGTTACCTCTTTATTGATGATGTCATATACCCGGGCCTGAGAGTAACTGATTCAAGTATTTGTTTCTTCTATTCTGCTTTCATTTAAGTTTTGCTATGGTATTCTTGAGCTTCTTCATTTCTGTTTGAATAGGTTCTTTCATTTTTTTCTGCAAAGGTTTCTTCAAACTTATTGATTGCATTAATTTCCTCATGTCATTCAACTTTGAGAGTAATTTTTACTCCATACCTTTTGATGTTGTTGAGGACCTTTCTGGGCTTTTGCCCTCATTGTTGTTGACGTTTTTTGATGTTTCTTCTTATTTACCAGCATTTTGATGGTAGTTATGAATTCCTTCATTTATTCTTTATGCCTTGTGCTGCATGGGAGATAAAGCTGGAGGTACTAAGAGGGAGGGTCAAGTAATATTCCATTGTTCCCATTCTCATGATTAGCTGATGCCTTGGAGATCCACTTATCTCTGGCTACCACAAATGCCTTTTCAATAGTTTTGAAAGGCATGGACAAATGCAACCAGATGATTTGGACTTCTTGTGAGGCCAGGGATGGCTGTAAGCCAAATTTGTTAGCCCTGGAGGACTAGGCTTCCCATCAGGAATTCCCCAAAGTGCCCACACGTCTCTATAGGGAAGGCCTGGCCAGAAGTTAAGGGCTCACAGTCTCAGTCTCGTGTGCTTTGCAGACTGCTTGGTGCCTGAGCTTGTGCCCCAGCTCATCTGTGTGCCTGGATTCCTTCTCGTTTCTGAATGACTTGTGAGCCTGTTCCCCTCTAAGGTACTAACGTTAGCACCTGTGCCTCACTGCCTTCTCAGTTCAGGTGACCTGTGAATTGGATCTGTTCTGCCCCCAAGTCACCTATATTCTGTATGTCCCTGCTGGCCTGCTTCAAGCGTCTGGGATGCGATTGCTGTCTCATCTCTCTCCAAATGTTGAAACATGCCCTTCCCCTATTGTCAGAAACAGATGGGAGGAGCTGCAGCTGCTGCTGTGCCCTAAGGATGTGGTGGTGTTGGTACTTGCCTCGGGGTGAGGGCTCCATTCTCTTGCTCACACTAGCTCCTTGCAACCACCATGCACAGAGGTAGGCCTTGGACTCAGTGCTGGGCTCTTGGCCCACCCCATGCCTGTACCCGGAGAGCTCTCAGTCTCTGTTCTCTCTCTAGGCTCCTCCTCCCTTGTTTGGAGGGGAGGGTGCTGCTCATCAACTGCACCTCCAAATGCTGTTCCACTGCATTCCCCAGGCTTCTGCAGATGGTCACTGGTTTCTCTGGTTTACCCTGTTGGCAAGACCCTGCACAAGCTTCTGTCTGTAGGAATTCTGGAAAGTTGCCTTGACATTGGAGTGCAGGTCTTTACTCTGACTCAGCCCTGCCAGAATGGCTGTGGGCAAGTTGCTTGCTTTACTGAGTTAGTATTAAAATTAATTTAATCATTTAAATATAATAAAGGTGTGAAAGTTAGAGTCATCAAACCATAAGCACTGCAGATATAATTGCTGTCATTATTATAAAATCTGCCTTCAAAAGCAGTTTTTAACCCACTGAACAATCGATTCCCAGGAGGTTGGTTATTACTTCCTCTGGAACCTCTTGCCGTATTTGCTGTACTTGAGGTTCACTGGCATGTGAAACACTGAACACTGCAAAATGTAAATTTATATAAACATCATGTTTTGTAATCCAAGAGAGATTTAAATGCTTCAAGATTTTAGGAATTGCAATAAGCTATAAGGCAAACAAAATATTTTTGAGTGTGGTGGTGATGGGGATTGATACCAGGACGTCATACATGCAAGGCAACTGCTCTCCTGCTAAGCTATATCCTTGAACCTAACACAACCTTTGTCCAAGGGTAGTAAAATACAGATGATAATTTTTTTCAATTATTATAGTTCTGTATAACTTTCAGTAGTATTTATTCTTTTCCTTGAAGAATTCATAGGGATTGTGTTAAACATTCCTTGAATAGGATAATTTTAACAATATTCTTTCAATTCATAAGTATGACATATATTTCTATTACTTTGTCTCCATTTTATCTTTTAACAAAGTCTTATTGTTTTTGTTATGTGGATCTTTTACCTCCTTTGTTCGGTTATTACAAGGAACTAAATCTTTATGAAGTGGAGTTGTTTGTTTTGCTTTTTGGTGTTGTTGGTTTTGGGGGACCACACCCTATGGTACTTGGGGCTTACTCCTAACTCTTCTCAGGTGTCACTCCTGCCAGTATTCAGGGGACCATTTGTGATGCCAGGGAGTAAACCCAAGTTGGCCGTGTGCTAGGCCAGGGCAAGCACCTAACCTGACATACTCTCTCTCCAGTCCTCTGATTACTTTTTCTTCTAGTTCATTGTTTACATATGAACACTGTTTACATGCAGCAGAATTTTTTTATATTGATCATGTATTTATACCTGCCACTGATTTATTGTTTCTAATATTTTTTAGTGGAAACTTTGTGGATTTCTGTATATATATCATGCCATCAGTAAATTATAATAGGTTCACCACTTCTTTTCCAATTAGAATTCCATTTTATTTTATTTTTTGCCACTTGTTCTATTTAGTAATTCTTAGTAGTAATAATGGTGAATGAACATACTTATCTTGTATCTGTTCTAGAGGGAAAACATTTTTTTTTTCAGAGTCAAATATAATTTTAGATGTGTATTTGTGGTATATGACCTTTATAATGTTAATATATGTTTATGGGTATTTTTATAATTCAGAAAGCTAATTTAAATGGAAAGAAAAGATTTGAGAAAGTACTGCAACATTTTAAACAGTAACTACTTTTTTACCTCTTTGCTTCCTCTTTATTGTTATTAGTGCAGTGTTAAGATGATGCACACTTGGGACTGGAGCTATATATAGTACAGCTGGTAGGCTTCTTACTTGCCTTGCATGCAGCCAACACAGGTTTGATTCCCAGCATCCCATATGGTCCCCTGAGCAGCACTAGGAATAATTCCTGCGTGCAGAGCTAGGAGTAACCTCTGAGCACCACTGGGTGTGGCCCCAAAACAAAACAAAACAAAAAAGAGGTTACACATTTAGTTGCAGTGCTCACACTCGTGGTTGTGGTACTCACACACTTCAGTTTTTATTACCACAGAAAAAACACTTTGATGTGGCTTTGGAAATTATAGATAACTGTCACTAAGATTACTATTCTGCATATGGGGAGATGCTAGGGATTAATCTTTTACCTTCAGGCCTACAAGGTAGAACTTTGATACTTAGCCATATCCTCGGGGCCCAGAAGTAGCTATTTTTGAGTGGTGGGACTGGAGGTAATTTTGTTTGTGTATGTTTTCTGTATTTTTCTTTAGGCGGAAATTAATAAATATTTTATTAATATTTCTGATTTCTTGTTAATATACTAATGAACATAGTTCCAGGAAAGTTTTATATAATTAACAAACTTAAAATATTTTTAATTTTTTTTTTAGGCAAGGAATATACACACAGGAGAGTTGGCTGCAGTAAAAATTATCAAATTGGAGCCTGGTATGTATTGTTGCCATCAATTTCCAAACACTTGTGGGTTTAGTAGCATTTTTGTCTCCTTCCTTGTTTCCCTTCCTTCCTGAAGTGCTCCCTCATATGTTGTTGGGTCAACAAGCTGTTCAATGTGATTATGTTGAATTCCATAGAAGATTGATAGTTAAGATGAGTTTGATGTGATAGCTTTATTATTAAATCAAATTTGAGCCGTGCTTGTCCCGAAATTGGAAGATGCAGTGACATTATAAACTTTCTGTCAAGATTATAGTCAAGTATTTGAACTACAGTTTTAAGTTTTTTTGAGAATTTGATTAGAAAAGTATTCATTGATTTCTGCAGGTATTTCATAATTAGAATATTGATTAGTTTTTAATTGCTATGCAATCAACAAATAACATTTGTTTTGGGTTTATAGCATAGTGATTGGCTATTTGTACACATTGTGAAATGATCACCACAATAAGGCTAGTTAACATCTTGTTACCATTTTATTTTCTAAGTGACTGTCTCTTCATCTCCCAGTTTCAGACATTTGTTAATTTACATGGGTTTTTTAGTTTTAGAACTTTTTGCTTTGTTTCTCTTGTTTTTTCTCCCCCTTTCGTAGAATTCTTTGATTCTGAGTCATGAATGTGTAATAGTGTGTGATGCATTTTTTAAAAAGAATTGTACAAAGTGTTTAGTCTTAGTTTTACATTTAAATAATGTTTTTAATTTAGTTTTATAGTCAAATAATGTCAGTTCCCATCATTGATCTTTTATGTCTTAATATTATTCTAAACCAGCTCATCTGTTAAACCAATACAAAGAAGCACTGTAATATTATATTGGCTTTATGCAATTTTTGAAAAGTAAGTTTAGTAAAGAATTAATATCCATAGATTTTGATTCATAATTAGTAGTGATTATGGATTTTAGTGCATAACAAAGATAGAAATAGTCCTTAGAAAATAATTTTTTATACTTTATACTTAATTTGTTACTGATATTATTTATTAGTTCTCATTTTATTTGAATTAGTTTTTCACATTTAAAACTAGTTTATTTTCATACCAAGTTTTATATAGCATTTTTAGTTGAAGTATCAAAATAGATTGTTTCTCTTTGGAGCAAACATAAGGGCATGTAAAAATGCAATATATTCATATATTTTCCCAAGATTAAATTCATATACTTCAAATAATTGTGGAAATAGCTTTATTTTTAAAATTAATTCTTGAATAAACTTACTTTTTAAAAAATTGCACCAAAGCCAATATAATATTACAGTACTTTGTTGTATTAGTTTAACAGATGAGCTGGTTTGGAATTGTGTTTAGACATAAGAAGAGAGTTACTTGCCAATATGAATTAGAAAAAAATTTACATCTGCTAAAAGATAAACAATTCTTGGGAAAAAAGAATAAATGAAATTCCAGCTGTGAACTCACTAAAACTTTTTATCCTAGTTAAAATAAACTGATATTAAAGATAATAATAATTCTGTAGTCCTAACTTTTATTGTAGATTTATCTATTTGCCTTTGGTAATTTAAATGTATTTAAAATTTTATTGAAATGGATTGCTTCTGAGGCTTTTCCTAATGCTCATAAAAATTCTAAAGTGTTGGGCCAGAGAGATAGTACTGTCGCTAAGGTGCTTGCCTTGCACATGGTTCGTTTGGGTCCCTCTAGTCCCTAAAGGAGTGATTCTTGAGTGCAGAGCCCAGAGTATGTTCTGAGCACCACTGGATATATCTCCTGTGAAGAAGTGTTTTGTTCATTTTTTCTCCCATTTTTTTCAACTTTATCTTTTGATAGCACAGCGGTAGGGTGTTTGCCTTGCACGCAGCCAGCCTGGCCAAGCCAGGTTCGATTCCTCCGCCCCTCTCGGACAGCCTGGCAAGCTACGGAGAGCATTCAATATGCCAAACACAGTAACAAGAAGTCTCATAATGGAGACGTTACTGGGCCTGCTCGAACAAATTCTTTATATTTATGGTTCTGGGGGTTGAACCCACACTTGCCTCACATGTGAAGGGCAAATGCTCTTCTACTGAGCTACATCCCTAGTCCTTGATTAACTTCTTTAATCAATCAAAACCTCTGGGTCTGGTTTGGTTCTGTTTCTCTGTTTCTGCTTTTGCTGCCAGTGCTTTTAGTGTCAGGCCTCAGAAATCATAGCCAAAATCAGTGTCTTGAAGCTTTTTCTTTGTATTTTCCTGCGAAAGTTTTATAATTTTGTTTTTTGCCATCGAGCCTTTAATGTCCATTTTGAGTTTTGTTTGTTTTTGGTGGTAAAAACTACATATCTAACTTCATTCCTTTTCACTTACATATTTGGATTTTTTTCTCATTATTTTAAATTTTATTTTGTTTGGTTTTAGTGCCCTTGTCACAGATCATGTCATCCTATAGGTGTAAATTTATTTAGACTTCTTTCCTAGTTCATATAGCTCTGTGTCACCTTACGCCAGTACCATACTGTTTTGTTTACTGTAGCTTTATAATAGGTTTTAAATCAGGAAATGGAAGCCCTACAGCTTTGTTTTTATTTCCTTTAAATTATTTTGGCTATTAGGGGTCTCAAGATTCCTTGTGAATTTAGGGTGATATTTTTTCTATTTCTTAAAAAGAGTCATAAAGTGTCATTGGGATTTTAATAGAGATTATGTTGAATCTACAGTTCTTTGGGTAGTAGATATTTTAATAAGTTTTTCAGACCCTGACCATCAGATATTTTATAAATCATCTCTATTGTTAGGTAAGTATTTTATTATTTTTGATGTTATTATAAATAGGATTACATTCTTAATTTTGTACTCTGTGCTTTCTAGTGTATAGTAATATAACAGATTTGAGGTGAGGGGTGCCATGTGTCCCTAGGGTTCAAACCCAGGGCTCCTGCGAACAGAACACTTACACAAGCTCTCTGTCTGAGGCATCTCCCTCGCCTCCTCCATAGCTGATATATTTGAGTTGATTTTGTACTGTGTAGTTTTGCAGCAGTTATTTAGAATGTTTTTTTGTGGTCCTTCGGGATTTTCTACATCGAAGATCTTGAGATCTGCAGAGATAATTTTATTTGTTTTGCATTTTGGATGCTATTGTGTCATGGGCAATGTAGGCAAAATACTACAGTACTTTGTAGTATTTTGCCTACTAAATACTAGTAAGATGTCTGATAAGATGTCGCTTGCGGCCGCGCGGTTCCGGGATCTGGATTTTATGACATCTTTTTTTATGACATCTTATTGTCTCATTCCTACTTTGGACAAACTTGCAGGCTATTGAATGTAGCCTGCCCACAGGGCAGAGTCTGGCAAACTCCCCGTGGCGTACCAAATATGCCAAATACCAGTAACAATGATGGGTCTCATTCTCCTAAAGAGCCTTGAATATAATCTCAGGGCTAGGATGAAAGAGACGTTACTGGGGCCTGCTCGAGGCAATCGACGAATAACAGGATGATGAAATGAAATGAAATACTAGTAAATAAATACCACTAAATAAATACTAAATACTATTTTTTTTTTGCTTAAATAAATAGTACTTATGTATGAGTACTTTTAATTTTATTCTCTATACTTTTTTATGGACTGGAGCGATAGCACAGTGGTAGGGCATTTGCCTTGTGCGCAGTCAGCCTTGACCGAGCCAGGTTGCATTCCCCCGCCCCCTCGGGGAACCCGGCAAGCTACCTAGAGTATCTCACCCGCATGGCAAAGCCTGGCAAGCTACCCGTGATGTATTCAGTATACCAACCACAGTAACAACAAGTCTCAAAATTGAGACGTTATTGAGCCCGCTCAAGCAAATCTATGAACAGCGGGAGGACAGTGTTTCATAACAAAGCCTGGCAAGCTCCCCGTGACATATTCAATATGCCAAACACAGCAACAAGTCTCACAGTGTTACTGGGCCCGCTCAAGCAAAACAGTGAACAATGGGAGGACAGTGACAGTGATACTTTTTTATACAGGCTGACTTTTCTCAGGAATATTAATGTGATAGATATTAAGGATTAAAACATAGTCATGAAGGGGAGGAAGAGATAGTACAACCAGAAGAGCAATTGCCTTGCACGTAGCAGACCTGTGTTTGATTCCTGGCACCGTGTGTGCCCCCCTGAGCTCTTCAGGAGTGTTCCCAGAATGCAAAACCAGAAATAAGCCTTGAGCTCTGCTAGGTATCCCTGTTATTCCCCCCCAAAAAACCATAAAAGTTACATTAAGCATTAAAAAGTGATTTACATTATTGATGCCCATCTGGAATTAGCATTTGCATGCAGAATGCCCAGATATTTTCCCATGACACTGTTTCTGATGTTCTCCCATGAAACTAATAATTAGAAGATTAAAATAAGAATCAAAATTTAGTAATGTTGTGTTTAATAATTTATATATATATAAGATGTAGTTTAGGTTTTCCAATAGAATTAATTTTTTTTTAATTTAGGCAGCTTGATTTGTGAAGTTATTGCTAGTAGAATTTCAGTATGATAGTGTTCCAACTCCAGTCCCATGGCCACTGTCTGCGTCCCACTATCAGTAGCACCAGATTCCCTCCACTCCCCCCCACCAACCGCCCATCTCTTTGGCTGACACATTTTTAAGTTAAAAAATTTAGTTGAATTATTAGCAAAGAGTCTTAATACTATATCAGAGGTTCTCAAACTTGTTATATTGGCTTTTAGCACATAGTTCTTTCAGTAAATAAAATGTGTTTGTTTTTTCACATAAAAATCCAACAAGATTAAGAGAGAAGGAATAACATTAAGAACATTCTTAATATTACACAAATCTGGCACTTATCATGGTATTGTTTACAATTTAGCAAGTACCTTGGTTGTTCCATCACAAGTCTAATGTAGTAATAATGAAAATACAAAAACAATGAAGTAGAAATAATATAGTAAATATAAAAATATAAACCAGTTGATATTTGAAGGTCACTTAGATATTTGTGTGTGTGTGTCTGTGTGTGTATGTTAGCTGTACTTAGGAACTATTTCAGGCTCAGTGCTTAGGGCTTATTCTTGTGGTGTGGGTACAACCATGTGCAGTGCTGTGGTTCAATCTGGGCTTTCTGCATGTACACTCTCTCTCCTGTCTCCAGCCCCTTGAGTTATCTCTCTGGCCCACTAGTATTTTTTGTGAAACTTTACTAAGGTACATTTTTAGAAATTCAGTAGAATGTATTTATTTATTTTTTGAATGTGTGTGTATGTGTGTGTGAATAGAATAGAATATTTTGATGATATTAATTAACTTTGTAGACTTCCATAAAATATTGTCACATTAATGTCACATAAATTTTAGGGACTTAACAATTACAGTAGATTTTGGGCTTAGGAAACAGATTGCTTCCAGTTCTGAACAGGATCTACTGCTTGATAACTTGAATAACTTTAAGTGGACTACTAAAAAAAAATTGAGATCAATCTCAGGGGAAGGAGAGTGAATGAAAATCGCCCGTGCAACTTTTTTGTGTGGGTAAGGTCTCCTAGTTCAGGGATGCAGCGGATGGGGGACACTCCTGGTCATACTTAACCAGTTGAGCTGACAGTTAATCATTAGGGCCCAAGGATGTGGTGCAGGGGATCACGAGGGCCATCCTGGCAGTGCTCAGGGCCAAACCCACTGATAATCAGGAGTTCATGTGGTGTGGGTGATTGTATCTGGGTATGGCACATGCTGGGCAGATGCTTGTAGCCCCTGTACTATCTCCTGACCCCACCTGTATAATATTTTTAAAATAAGTATTTCTGTCTTCACTAAGTTCCATTTCCAGAGTCCTTCCATTTTGTCTCTTAAGCTGTGTCCTTCATTTAGGTCACTTCAGCTTGAGCATGATCTCCTTGCATTCGTCTTTGATATTACTTCCAACCTCCCTTCTCCCCATGCACCATGCTGAGTATGTTCTCATCACAATAGCTACAGCAGTCTTTCTGAAGCGAAAATAAGATCCTGTACTCACTTGTTTAAAGACTCTCAGAAGCTTGCCATTTTGCTCAGAAAAGAATTCCAAGTCATTGAATGGGCAGAAAGTTAGTGGCTAAAAAAAGCAGTCTCTCCTCTGATCTCACCTTTTTGGCTTAATTAGAAACACTGAATTTCTTTCTGTTTTCTAACATGACAGCCACACTCCTGCTTTTAAGGTGTCATGCCAGCTGTTCTTCCTGCCAGGAATTCTGTTCTATTAGGTACTTTGTTTGACCTTACTAGACTTTACAGATTTTTCAAGTATCCCCTTAACAAAAAACTCTTCCTGACTACTCATTCTTTGAAAAATAATGTTTAGGTTCATCACTTTCTAATCTAAGCTTAGGTTAATTTTTCTTCTTTGTGTTTAGTTCTTCTTTTGGGGAGAGGGAGCACATCCAGTGATGCTCAGGGCTTAAGCCTAACTCTACACTCAGGAATTACTTTTGGTGGAGTGCAGGACACTACATGAAATGCTGGGGGTTGAGCCAGGGTTTGCTGCATACAAGGCAAATGCCGTATCCACTGTACTGTCTTTCTAGTCCCACTTTGCACTTTTTGATATATGTGTTTTATTTTCTGATAGCCCTCCCCCCAGAGAACATTGGCTGTTTAAATTTATATCAACACATTTCCAATGCTTAACATAAAGTCAGCATTCAGTAACAGCTACACAACGACCTCATTTTATAATGCTGTTGATTCTCTGATCTTGTGATTTATAAGAATTAATGTTTTTTAGCTATTGAGAGAACCAGTTACATTTTTCTTGTATATTTGGTCGTCATCCAACAGTCCATACTAACAGCACCCAAAGCCCTTGAGAGTTAAGGGTCTCTTGTTCTATGAACGAAACTTTTGGAAAGAATCAGAGACTAGGAAGTTGCTTACATTAAGAAGATTGGAGTGTCTCTCACTTTTACTCCATCCCTGTTCCCTGACCTTCACGTAGATGAAGGGGTCCAGAGATTGAGTTCAGGCACTACTGGCCTGTGAGTTAATCAGTCATTCCCATGTGAAGAAGCTGCCTCCAAAAAAACTCAGAAGAAGGCACAGAATCTGAACACAGGGCGATTTGTATAAGTTTTCTGCCCTTTCCCAAACCTTTCTATATGCATTTCTCCCTTTTGATTATTTCTGATAGCACAGCGGGTAAGGCATTTGCCTTGCATGTGGCCGATATGGCCAACCCGGGTTCGATTCCTCCACCCCTCTCAGAGAGCCCAGCGAGCTACCAATAGTATCTCGCCTCCACAGCAATGCCTGGCAAGCTCCCTGTGATGTATTCAGTATGCCAAACACAGTATCAGCAAGTCTCACAACGGAGATGTTACTGGGCCCACTCAAGCAAATCAATGAACAAAGGGAGGACCGTGCTACAGTGTAATAAATTAGTGGTCTGGAGAATAAATGTGTTTCCTGAGTTTTGTGAGCCACTTTAACAAATGTATCTAATTTGAGGAAGGGTCATGAAAACCTGATTGATAGCTAGTCAGTTGGAAGCACATGATTGAAATTAGAAATATAAGGAAAACATGTCTCTGACTTGTATGAAGATTTTTTTTGTATAGTCATGTAAGGCTAATTTCTGAGTTTTCTCTTTGCCATCTATATTTTTCTAATATGATTTTAAGTTAGCTCTGTATCCCACTGACTTTTATTGTTTTCCCCTTTCCTTTTGTGACAGTCACAGACATATTTGGCCATGGGATTCACACATCTGGTTATTTTATTCACAGATTGAGCCAAGGTGCTATCAGGACCCCACTGTGCAGTTGTGGTTCTTGCAAACACTCTGGTTGCAGTTTCCGCTGGGGGTCCCTGTGGCTTCACATATTTACCAAGGATCACACACTTGACCAGAGTTTTGGTGCTTTTTTGTGTCTGGGAGTGGCTTTTGGGCCACACCCAGTGGTGCCCAGGGCTTGCTTCTGGTTCTGGGCTCAGGGATCTTTCCTGGCATTGCTTGAGGAACCATGTGTAGTGCTAATGATCAAACTGAGGTCGGCAAGGCAAGCACTTTAACCCCTGTAGTCTGACCTATTGTGCATTTTTTAGGAGGCCACAAAGCAGTGCACAAGGGGATCTAGGGTTTGATTCTCCAGCTTCAAAGTGTCCCCCAGCATAGTGGTTCTTGAGCACTGCCAAGCTGAAGTTAGCTCAAACTCTGAACGTCCAGGCCGTGTCACACTACCAGCCATGCATCACTGGGAATGGCTCCCACTGCCCCTTCCCCAACCTATCCTTAAGCACCAGAGGGGAAGCACCAAAATAAAGGCCAGGATGGGGGATAATTCTTGGCATTGGGGTAGTGTTTTTGCTAAGCATGTTGGAAACACTGAGTTCTGCCCCCAGCACTACCTGGCTCCTGCCCAACTGAAAACTGCAGGGAGTGACCTGTACCTGACCACCTCTAGTACTGTTGAGATACGTGGCCCCCTACACAATGACCTCTAGGAAAGTCTTTCTTCCTGCTTAACCACATTCATAGAGACTCAAGTGCAGTGTGGTGACCAGGTTGTTGTTATGTTTTTCAGGAGATGACTTTTCTTTGATTCAACAAGAAATCTTTATGGTTAAAGAATGTAAACATTGCAATATTGTCGCCTACTTTGGGAGCTATCTCAGGTAAAAATAAAATGCACCTGCCTTCTTCATATTTTATATTCTCATTTTTACTGTCTTTCATTCTTTCATGTAAGTTCTGTTAAGTATACACTTTTTAATTGCCTAAAATTTCTCATTTTATTGAAATTTTTTATTAAATAGTTTATATTCACAGGGAGTTACACATTTCCCAGCAATCTTAGTTGAATATTGCAATTACAAGAATTTTAGTTTATAAAGTTGAGCATATGGTAAATCATTTAATATGATAGGAGCAACAGTGAAGTTCATCAGCTTTTCCGTATCTTGTTGAGATACTACCAGGACAATTTTCTGTTATGCACTACAGTCCATTGTAAACCTTTGTATATAGAGGAGCGAAAACCTTTGGAGTATATCTGTGATGGAAAAATATTAGCTAATATAATATTCTTTCTCTTTCCTCTTAGCCGGGAAAAACTGTGGATTTGTATGGAATATTGTGGTGGTGGATCGCTTCAAGATATTTACCATGGTATTATTAATTTAACTTTAAATTTCAAAACTGACTTTGACTATAATGATTACTAAATTTTAAAATTTTTTTCCAGTTTGCCTGTAATATTAATGTTTGATTTTTAGTTTTACATTCTTTTGCTTTTACTACTGGAACACTGAATAAAATAAATCTAAATTCCCATTTATGTCAGTTATTGAAATATCCTGGAGCCTATACTGGGAAATCCAAGAGTACTTGTACAGTCCAGATTTTTCCCCTCTTTTTGGTGGGTTGAAAAGCCTCCTAAGCAGCACCTAGGTGGTCTAGGGCCCTCTCCCAGCATTCAGACCTTTTTTTTTTTAAAGTACATTGCTGTAAGAAGTCATCCGGTAATATATTTAGAAGGTTTTTGAAATATACCACCTTTTTTTCATGATCTACAAACTGACTTTACTTAACTTTCAGAGACTACTAAAACAAGCAACACTTTCAAACTGCATCATCAGTATTGGGGGGAAACAGTCTTTGTATCCCCAGACATTCATTGCATAGTGTCTGGGCAGCAGCCACCTTAACTGCACTGTAGTTTTACTTAAGACCGTTGATAGATCAATTAAGCACAGACAGTCGATAGGTCAATTATGCATTGTTCATTAAAATCACTAATAAAATAGAAATAAAGCCTTTATTTTTAACTTGAGTGTATAAAGTATGATAGTGGGCAGGGTTGGTGGTGGTGGTGGTAGAATTAAATTATCTTTACTGTCCAAAATAGTCCTGCCGATTCGGGGTGTTGGGTGGTTGGGGTTAATGCCAGTGAGGGGGTGGTGGGTGGTCAATGCAGCCAGTGACAAAAATGTTCACCTAAATTTACCTGAATATTAGGATATCTTTGAGTATGTTGTATTTCCATACTTAATTAACATACAGTGCCTTTGTTAACATTTTTTAACAGTTTTAGTTGTTAATGAAACGAGTTGCTTCTAAAGTTAAATTGGGACAAATGACTAGAGTAGAGTAGTGCTACTATTGGGCAGTGACGATGCTAGGCAGAGGAGTGGGACCAGAGAGGAAGCTCAGTGGTCAAGGGCCCATGTTTTGCATGAACAAACATCTGAATTTTGTCTCTGGCACCAGTGGGCCAGAGCAGCATTACATAGGCTAATCAAGAATTGAACCCTCCAGCCCAGTTAGCCAAGTATCACTAGCAGTTCTCAATGTACTGTTTGGGAGGTTTCTTCCCACCTTCCTCTGAAAAAAGACAGGAATAAAACTGAAGACTTAAAAGAGACCCACAAAGGAGTAGGCATAGGTTCTGGATATTGTAGATGTTCAGCCACCTTCCAGTTGTTTGTGTGGAAGCTTTTTTAAATGCAGAGGAAAAACAGCTTTTTAAAGTAGACATTTTTAATCTTTTATATATAAATATAACAGTAGTTTTTACTTTCTTTCTAGTTACTGGACCACTATCCGAATTGCAAATAGCTTATGTGTGCAGAGAAACTTTACAGGTACTGCATTTGTTTATATAGTTAAAAAGGCAATTCCATTTTCATAGTTCAAATGATCTCCTCCAAAGTAAAAGAGTAAGCCAGGTGATTTTTTTTCTTATGTTATTGTAAAGACTCTCATGTTAAAGTACTGTAAGGCTAGTTATTTCTTTTATAAATGAGTCACAAAAATTTATTTAAAAGGATGATCTACACAAAGTTGATGTTTGGTGCTCTTCATAGAGTCTTGTCATCAATTGCTACAAAGCAGAGGAAAGCCAGAAGTGTAAGTTGAGTTAGTCGCTAGGCTTCTTAATTATATCAAGTTGTCTTAGCTTTCTTTCCCTTCAAGTTTTATGCAGTAAAAGCAACCAATTTTTGCACCAAGACATGAGGGCTTTTATCATTTCTATTGAAATGAGAATTAGCATATTTTTAATTTCTCTGAAAGCATAACTGATATGTTATAGTAAATAAATGGTAGTAGATATCTTTAACTTTGGTAAATTTGGTATATAAAGATTTGTTTTTTCAGAGCCTATGAGAACTGTAATATTTTAAAGTAGGTTGAGAATCTTCAGTAGGTCTAATGATTCTTTGTCTCCCAATTTTATTTTTAGTGCCCCTAGACTACTTATCAAGAACTTAGCTATTGATTTGTTCATGAATTTTGCTACATTTAAATTAAGAGAGACTAATTAAGTGTGGGTGTGGTCCCCAAACAGAAACTTCTGAAAAAAAGGAACAGAGAGTGCCAGAATTGGGTGAGGGCGGGTTGGGGTTGGAGGAGACCTAAATAGACTCTTTCTTATAAAATACATACTTTTGTGAAGAAACAGATAGACCAAAATTTTTTTAAAAGTCAGGGATGTCACTCAGTAGTAGAGTACTTGCCTTGCAAACCGGAGACCTTGGGGTTGAGTCGCAAGCAAAAAATAACAAACAATGAAGTTTTTAAAACATGTCATACTAACTATTCAAAAGAAAGCTATAATAGCAATACTAATACCAGACAAAGTAGACATTAGAGCAAGTGTTACATTAAAGAAGTAATTTTGTCAAAAGGCATGAGTACCCACGTGTTGTTGCCCCTAAGAAGAGTTTCAAAAACCTTTGCAAAGCAATAGAACTGAAAGGAAAAGAGACCAGTGTATACAGTTATAGTCAGATATATCAGCATCCCTCACACAATCCCTACAGAAGAAATAGTCAGAAAACCAATACGAATATGGAGAATTATACACTCAGACCATTTTTTCTGACATTTTTCTCCAACTATAACAGGATATGCATGCTTTTCTAGTGCCCACTAAACATTTGCCAAAATGTTGCACATTCTGGGCCACAAAATATTCTCAGTATATTTTAAAATGTTTAAATCAGGGATTAGAGAGATCGTATAGTGGATAAGACACTTGCCTTGCACACGGCCCATCTGAATTGGATCCCAATACCCAACATGTTCCCCCTGAGCCCACCAGGAGTAAGCGTTGAGCATAGACAGGTGTGGTCCCAAGACGAAATAAAAAGATTTAAGTCGTGTATATTCCGTGATAATTGATTTTCTTAATTTAAGAGAAATATTTATGGAATATCTCAGTCTGTGGAAATAAAATAAAGCACTGTTAACTATTTAACACGTCAAGTAAGAAATCAAAAGAGAAACTAAAAGGCATTCTGAATGATATAAATGGAAATACAGCACTTGAGATGAGATACTTTGAAAGTGGTATTGTTAGAAGGAAGAAAGATTTTACTGTGTGATCCCTGTATTAAAAAAGCAAGTTCTGAAGTCAATATCCTCAGCCTTCACTTTAAGAAATTATAAATAATAGAAGCAAATCAGACAAATAAAGAAAATAATAAGTATCAGAGTGGAAATTGGTGAAAGGCAAAAAATATAAAATCAGTGAAACCAAAATCTGATCCTCTGAAAAGATCAATAAAATTTATGTCAGTTTGCTTAGGAAAAAATAATGAGAAATCACAAATTACCAATATTAGAAATGAGTGAGGGGATATTATAACAGTCTATAAATGTGAAAAGCATGCAGGATTTTTCAGTACTCCATATTATAAAATAGCTTTATGTTAATAAAGTAAAAAGAGTTTTTCCTAGAATGTAGTGTTGATTTAACAGTCAGAAGTCATTTCAGGTTGACTCATTAACAGAAGAGAGAAAATCCCACATGATCATCTGAAGAGACAGCAAGTGTTTAGCATACACTTGAAATTTTTGTTTCTGTAGGAACTGTCACTGTCACTGTCCTCCTGTTGTTCACTCGAGCGGGCCCAGTAACGTCTCCATCGTGAGACTTGTTACTGTGTTTGGCATATTGAATACGTCATGGATAGCTTGCCAGGCTTTGCCTTAAGCTAATTCTAGAATTCCTTTGGAAATGCAGCAGACTTGGACATACTAAAATAACTTTCAAAAGAACAGGATTTGAGAACTAATAGCAATCTCAAGTCAAATAAAATTTTTCTCATCAAAACACAATGATATTGGCATATGGTGGACAAGTAGTTGAATGGAATAGAAGAACCAGAAGGAAATACACACACATGTATGGACTGCTGATTTTTGGCAAAGGTAAAAAGATAGCTCAGTGGAGAAATCTTAGACTTTTAACACGTGACATGAAGAGAGTTGAACACCCGTATGTTAACAATTTTAGCATATTCATTCCACATGTAAAAGTTTACAAATTTTATCAGAAACCTAGATATAATACCTTAATACCTAGAAACTCCAGAAGAAAGCACAGAGCCAGGAGTAAGTAAGCCCTGAGCGCCACTGGCTATGACCCAAGAACCAAAGAATGATCAAAAACTAGATAATTCAAAGCCGACTTATGATTTATTTAGGAACTTGGAGGGGTATCAATATGTCCATTATTTTGAATTGTGGTGGTGATTATTTCTTTTTTCCAGAAAATGAATAAGATACTTAAAAGTAAACATTGGTTAATAAAAAGAAACTCATTTAGGTTATTTTTTCACCCTCCCAAAAACTACTCTGTTCTTTCTTATTCAGTAAGAGTTTAAGTATAAAGCAGTCAAGTTTGCAATTTTTGTCAACTTTATTTATTTGTTTATTTATTTTACTTTAGGGTCTTGCTTATCTGCACACTAAAGGCAAAATGCATAGAGATATCAAAGTAAGTTTGTTTAAATTGTTTAAATAATAATTTTATAGGAAAAATTATGATGCTAATTTAATAGTATTTGGTTTTTTGTTTTTAGGGTGCAAATATTTTATTGACAGATCACGGTGATGTAAAATTGGGTATGTTATTTCCAGTTTCCTAAAAGCTATTTTGAAAACATTAAAGTTCAGTCTTAAGTGAGCATTAGACCATTTTATAAGTTTAATATTCATATTAAGATACACAATAATGTTGCTCTTTTGAGTCAAATAATTTTATTCCTGGGACTCAGCTTAAAGTTTTAGTCCTAAAAATGGAAGAATTTTCAGAGGGCAAGGGCTACTCAGCTGAGTGCTCAGTGCTCAGGGGTTACACAGGTGCCCTGCTGTGCTGGAGATTGAGCCTAGGCTTCCTGCATGCAGAGCATGTGCTCCAGTCCTCTCTGCCATCACCACAGTCCTCATAGAAGTAGTAATCATAAAATTATTTGTATTAGAAAAATTGCAAACTGGGTTTCACAAAAGGCTGTTACATGATAACTATACTTGTGGAACTTTAGTTTTGAAATTAGAAATAAAAGTACAATCTGATGGAATTGGTGATTTAATGGTGGTTATTCCATTGCATCAGGTGAATTGTATATATATTTCACTTTGAATCATTTTTAATCCAAAAAAATATGTACTGGGCTGGGGAAATAGTTCAAATAATAGATTACATGCATGCTACGAAGCCCTGAGTTCGATCCCCATTACCACATGACCCGCCCTCGCTGCAGCACTAGTAAGTGTAGCTCTGGTGGCTTTTGCTCACTGCCAGGCCCAAGATCCACACTGTCAGGCCCACACCTTCAGGCTGAGCATTATCAGGAGTGGCTCTGGGACCCTCACACTCACTGATGATGTCCCTTATATAAAGAAAGAAGTAAATACATAGGACAAGAGCTTTTTAAGAAATCATATTTCAGAGCCAGAGAAATAGCTAACCAGGCTGAACACATGATTTGTATTTAGGGGATCCGGGTACAATCCTTATCACTACCCTGAACACTATAGGTAGTGACTCCTAAGCACTGAGTCAAGGAGTAGCTATCCAATATCAGCAGTTGTGGCCCCAAAACAAAAAAAAATAGTGTTTGACAAATTTAATAGCACCAAAATGCTGGCCTAGTTGTGTTAGAATTAATGGAATCCAGGGGCCAGAGTAATAGTATAGTACAGTGGATTTGATCCCAGGCTTCCCCATATGGTCTCCCAAGCCCCGCCAGGAGTGAAACCTGAGTGCCTACCAAAGAGTAAACCCTGAGCACTGGTAGGTGTTACCCCCCAAAAAAAACAAAAAAAGAATTCAGGTGGGTTTTTTGTGCTTTTTTCCCCAAAATTCATCAAGATAAAGTGTGACTTATTTTCTTTCATTGTGTTTGTTATAAAGAAGAGATTTGGGTGTTCCATTTATCTAGTTCTCTATGTTTGCTCTTAGAATTATTAATAATGTCATGCCTAAGGGTTAAATTTAGAAGTGGTTTTACTGGGAAAAAAATGAAGTATTCGGTGTTTTTTTCTTCACCAGCTGATTTTGGTGTTGCTGCAAAAATAACAGCTACAATTGCAAAGAGAAAATCTTTCATTGGCACCCCTTATTGGTAAGACATTGTGATTCAATTTTGTGCCTTTCCTGTCTTCAACATTCATAGTAGTCAGCATTGATACAGGGTCACCTTTTCCCCTTTAAGTCTGAACTTTTGCTTTATGCATTGATAGTCTTAGTTCTTACTGTGTTAGGAAACTTTGATGTTCATATTTATTGCCCGGCTTTTCCTCTGTTATAGTGCTAATCATTCTGATTGTCCCTGGGATGTTGTATTGAGAGGAGTCATCGGTATGAGATGTTCAGATGAATAGGTGTTAGTACATTTTCTTGTTGTTTCCTTATTCTTTTTTCTAGTGTTACTTTCAGTTTTAATCTTGAACTTTCTGGTTCTAAAAATTAATTAGTCCTACTAGTACTACAAAAGGCACCCTACTTCTGATTTAGTTTACCAGTCATTGACAAAATAATCTTTCTAAAACAGTACTTTTGTTATTCAAGACACTATATTGAAATGGGCTCAAAAGCATAGTAATAAACCTTCATTTGTAAAATAATTTAATATTATAAAAGATGACATTAAAGTTTATGTAAAAAGTTGTATTCTTTAATATGTGGCATCAATGTAAAAATGTAAAATTAAATGTAAATGAAAAATGTAAAATTACTTTTATAATGTAACGCCAAAGTAAATTATGGAAATAGTTAAATATAAAATTGCAACCTAAGGAGCTGTTAGTGACATTAAGAGTTGAGTAACCCTGGGGCCAGAGATAGTACAGCAAGTAAGGCACTTGCCTTGCTCACAGCTGACACAGGCTTAATCCTCAGCACCACATACGGTTCTCCAAGCCCCACTGGGAGTGATCCCTGAGCCAGAGCCAGGAGTCAGCTCTGATCACCTCCAGGCATGACCCAAAACCAGAAAGAGTTGAGTAAACCTTTCTTGGCATAAAAACAAAATTGTTAAAAGAGAAAACTGACATTTTAAGCTACTTAAATATTTAAAATTATAGGGTCTGGAGAGATAGCATAGCAGGTAAGGTGTTTGCTTTGAACTGCCTGTGGCCAACCAGTTATACATGTGTACCAGATTAAATAAAAGTAATTAAAAGTAAAAAATTAAAAAACATCAGCTAAAATATGGCAAGCCTTTGATATCTTTAATGTATAAGTTCTTAAATATTTCATTAGAAACAGATTATAAAAATATCATGAAATATTAAAAGAATGTCTCCCAGTGATGACCAAAAATGGAAATTAAATGAACCATGCCATTCTTTTCATGCTAAGTTGGAAAATTTTTGGAATCATGGGTTATTATTTGTTATGCATTATCAGTTATACAGTAAAAGAAATTGATAAAGTATTTTTGGAGGATACTTGGCAATAATGTCTAGTTTGCAACAACATTTCTTTAATTTATGGATTTAAGTTTTGGTGTATTTGTAGTGCCTCTCAGTGTATCAGAGGCACTACAAATTTTATGTGAAGAGCATTATCATAGTACTTTAATAATAAAAAATGTACACTGGTGGTTTAGGCCCTGTGTTCAATATATCCTATGCCCATACTCATCTCAGGAGCATTGGGTGTAGCACCTCTAAAAAAATAGCCCCAGGGGCTAGAGCAGTAGTACAGCAGGTAGGGTACTTGGCTTGCATGTTGCTGGCCAAGACTTAATCCCTAGCACCACTCCAGATGGTTCCCCCACTGGGAATGATGCCTGAGTACAGAGCCAGAAGTAAGCCCTGAGCAGTGCTTGGTGTGATCCCCCTAAAAAATAATAAACAATTTAACCCTTAATTATGAAAAATTGAAGGGAAATTACATATGCAACATGTATTGATTAAAGATACATGGCCATTCATTCTAATTAATGAAAACAGTTGCCAATAAATCTTAAAAACCAGGGATCAGTGAGATACTAGTACAGCAGATAGAATGCTTGCCTTGTTAGCAGCCATCCCAGGTTTGTTCCTCAGCATCACTTTTGGTCCCCTGATCTCACTAAGACTAATCCTTGAACACAGAGCTTGGAGTAATGCTGGGTATAGCCAAAACCAAACATTTTAAAAATAGTTTACCGTATTAAATATTGTAAAATATGAGCTCAGTGAGTGAATTCCATGATATAACATTAATCGCAAAACAAGATTAAGAGTAGCATTTCTTTATAATAAAATGCCTTTTTTTAAAGACATGTGTTTTAAATATATGGAGAAAATATGTGACGCAGTAATTGGTTGGGATCATGTTTGACTTGTTTTCTCTTATAATTTTTTGTATATTCATAAATTCTCTTTAGTCAGCACACGGCTTTTAACAACAAAAGCTCCAATAATATTGACTAGAAAGTTGAACCGTAGGTGAGTTAGACTACATATAGCATTTCCTTCATTGCATGCCCATTTCCTTCCTCAGTTTGTTTTGTGACTGTCCTCTCCTGTGAACACTTTTGTGGTCAAATTGTCAGTATTTTTACCCCGACTATACCAGCTATTCTTGCCTCCTTGGTATACCCTTTTTCTGTGTCTATCTTAATTCCGGCCCTTTCTTAAAGAATGGCATACATTACGTCTGTCTTCTCATAGTTCTTTTCCACTGAGCCAAAAAATGGATCAGCCATGGTCATCATGGCACTCTGTTAGCCTCCACTGATTCCAGTGAACAGAGATGAAACCCATATACTTCCTCTGGGTTTCATCTCAGCTGCTTCCCTCTATGAAATTTTCCTTCAGTCATCTTAGGGTATGATGATCATTTTCTTCTCTTTACTCCTGTACTTGTTACTGTAATATTACTTACATATAACAGTTACCACTAGATGTTGACATTTTAGCATTTTGCTATAACTAAGTTGAACAACATTTTGTTATGTTTTTGAAAGCCACAGTGCTTATGAAAGCAACTTTTACTACCTATATTGGATCTTCAATATAAATATTAATTTTAAAATTGTAAACATTAAACAAATAAACTATGTGCCCCTGAGCAATAGCCCTAAAACGCTTCATAACTTGTTTGTTTTTTTTTCTGGGGTGTGGGGACCTTTCCATGGGTATCAGGAAGCCTGGAGACCCCTCCTGGCAACTTTTGTCAACCAGATGAGGAGTTCAATGCAAGGGCCTGAGGATTTGATGCCCGGGATTACCTGTGCTACACTGGTGATGCTTGGGGCCTCCAGGACTGCACCTGGTGGTGCTGGAGGGAATGGGGACCATGAGCTGAGACACAAACCAGTGTTGACTGCAGACACAGCATGCACCTAAAACCTTATACTTTCTCTCCAGCCCCTGAGCTTTATAAGTTTAGATGCCATTATTATACACCACTGCCTCCCAAATAGGTAATTCCAACAGTTACTTGATCATCAGTAATACATATTTATTAGTTGTTTGATAAAAGCTTCACTTCTTTATCAGCTAGCATTTGACAGATCAATCTCTTTAGTGAACACCTTCCCTTCTATCCTTTCTACCACTACAAAAGTCATTTATGTTTTGTCCCATGCAGTTTTGAAATAGTTGTCAAACTCCCTTAACTCTGGTTTCACCTCTTTAACTGTCATTCATTTTGCTAATTTGCCCTTAAAGTGGAATCTTTTAGTGGGTTCCTATTTATTATCTTGTCCCTGTCTCTGTGGTTCGAAATTTCCCGAATACTTGTAGACCCTCTAAATGGTGGTCCAGGACCAATTCTTTTCTAGTTTTTATTTATTATAGACTGATACTTATATCAAATAAATTAATAGTAAATTAGGGAAAAATAATATATTTGGATGACGTATTTTCTTAGACAATTAGCCCGCAGTTTATGGCCATGGTGTAACTAATCTACAGATTATACATTTGAGTGGCAATGTCCTGTCAACTCCCAGGGGTTCCTTGCTGTCTTCCTGCCCCCTATACTTGTACTTATTTATACTCTTGTTCAGACTGTCTACTCACCTTATCTTTTCTTTTTTTAACTCGTTTCTTTTTCCCCACCTTCCCTTCCCTCTTGATGTTGCAAGGATGAGGAGTACTATCTATGCTGCATTGTTACTTACATATGTTGGTTACATATGACTCATCAGGGGTCATACCCTTTAGTGGTGATCTTGCACACACTTGACAATAGCAGGACCAGGAATTAGTTATATCACCAGCACTGTCAGTCACGACCACATTTATGTTGGTGGGGGTTGGGGAGCAGTAGCCCTGAGGCTCAGATGTTTTTTATCTTAGACTTGCAAGTCCCCTGAGCCATTTCAACAAACTCTCTCTCTCCTATTATTCACCGTGGATTTAAAAAAATTTTTTTTTATTAGTGAGACACCATTGTTTGTTTTTTCACAATAGGTTTTGGGACCACATCATTATAGCTGCGATGAGGGCTTGCTTGTAGCTCTATACTCAGGGATCACTCCTGGTAGACCTTAGTGAACCACATGCATTGTCAGGGATAAAAGCCAAGTCAGCTATATGTAAGACAGACACCTTATCTGCTGGACTTTTTCTCCAGCCTTCCCCCTAATTTTTAAAGTCTTTCTTTGAGAACTTTATTCTCACCTTCATGAGGTTTTATGTTTGTTTTCTTTTCCCCATTTTGTAAAACAAGATTCACAAAATAGAATCTAAAGGCAACGCAGCTTTTCCTTAAAGCATCAGTATTCAGAGAAGATTTAAGATATTTTTTAGGTAATTTTAGAATATTGTGTCTTATGGTCTTTGTTGTGAAGTTTTTTCTTCATAGTAAATGCTTTTCAGCCTCTATCCCTTAAGTATGGTGAATGTAACAAAATGGATTTTGCATTTTTTTAAATCATAAAACTGTTATTACATTTACTGATTTCTTCTAGGATGGCCCCAGAAGTTGCAGCAGTGGAAAAGAATGGGGGCTACAACCAGCTTTGTGATATCTGGGCAGTAGGGATAACAGCGATTGAGCTTGGAGAACTTCAGCCACCTATGTTTGATCTTCATCCAATGAGGTGTTTAATATTATGCAGTTGTTGATAAAGACTTGGGGAAAACTAATAACTCAAGTATTACAAATCATTTTCATATATGTTAAAATAGTAAAGGAATTTAGAGTACAATCTAATCTAAAATCTCTTAATTTTCAAATATTGCTATTGTAAGATAACATGTAGTAAATTCTTTATATTGTTTATATTGTTTGAGCTATCCATAAAACAAATTTTCCTTATTGTTTATTTTAGGATATAGAATTTTAAACGAATAAGAATAGGTAGGGGCCAGAGTAATAGTACAACATATAGGGCATTTGCCTTGCACACGCCCAACCTGGGTTTGGTTTCTGGCATCCCATGTGGTCCCCATGTGAGCTCTGACAGGATTAATTCCTGAGTGCAGAGCCAGAAGTAAGCCCTGAGCATTGCTGATGTCACCCAAAAACAAAGCAAAAAATAAAGCAATAGGTAAATTTATAATTGGGACAAAATAGAAACATTAATTAAGTAGTATAAATTTTAAAATAAAATTGACAGGAAAATATTCTTAAATACAATATACACTAGATTACATAGGGAACTCTCAGAAATTCTGTAGATAAAAGTAAGATTATTTATGAGCAAGCACCAGATTCTAAGAAATTTTGAAAAGTCAACAAAATACAAAAATTCCAACAAATTTAGACCTTTAGAAAATTAGATATTATTTGTTATGTAAAATACTGTCACTGTCCTCCTGTTGTTCATCGATTTGCTCGAGCACGCCCAGTAATATCTCCATTGTGACACTTTTTTCTGTATTTGGCATATAAATACTTCACAAATAGCTTGCCAGGCTTTGCCGTGCAGGCGAGATAACTCTTGGTTGCTTGCCGGGTTCCCTGAGAGGGGCGGAGGAATTGAACCTGGGTCGGTCAGGTCAGCCACATGCAAGGCAAATGCCCTACCCACTGTGCTATTAGTGGGATATTAAATTACATTTAGATAATAATTCGAGAAAAGAAAAAACTATGGATTATTCATTTCAGGATAATTTGCTTGATATACCCAGAATAATTGTAGAGTTTTATTGTTTTTGATTAAATTTACATCTTAGTGTTAGAATAATATCATCTCTGTGTTACAAGGTTTATGCTAGGATGTATACTAATTATATATGTAACATTAACAGTTTGGTGAATGTAATAGCATTTGGTAGCTTTGCCTTGTGAATAAGAGTTTACGTTTAAAAACATTCTCTATAGAGAGAAAAATGAAAAATACTTGCCATAGAGACAGGTTGGTGGGGGTTGTTGGGGTGATGGCAGGAAGGAAACTGGACATTGGTAGTGGAAAATGTACACTGGTAGAGGAATGGGTATTGTATGGCTGAAACCCAATCATGAAATGCTTTGTAACTGTGTATCTCATGGTGATTCAATTAAAATAATAATAATTTTTAGGAAAAACAAAATTCTCTATAATCAGAAAAAATTCTCCACAGACAATATATATTAAGCTATATATGATATATTAAGCTTTTATATTCCATATAAATTTTATATTATTAAGCTATATATTAAGCTTTTTATATTCCATATAAATTAAGTGATCACTTAAGTGATTAAGTGATAAATTTTCTTTAGTATTTGCATAAGTACTGATAAAAATCATTTTGGTTTTGTTCTTTAACTGAAAATTTGTTTTTCAGGGCTCTCTTCTTAATGTCAAAAAGTAATTTTCAGCCTCCAAAACTAAAGGACAAAACAAAATGGTGAGTGAAGAATATGTAGGTTGATAAGAGTTTAAAAATTGAAAGTTGTACAGATTTGGTTTTCTTTATTTGTAGATGATAAAATAAAATCACAGAAGTATTAAATAGTTCTTCTGAAGATATACTATGGCAAGAATCTAAAGCTCTTTTTTAGTTCAATGTTCCTTTATAATCTGTTGACCTCATCAAACTGATTCTTTTTTTTTTTTAGTAAATCAATTCTTTTTTAATGATCTGTTGATCTCATCAAACAGATTTTTTGGCTACTTGGGTAATAGGTTTGGTGAGGAAAGGATTTGAAATGAATAATAAGGTTTTACATCTTTCTTTTTTACCCTGTACTCCTTGACTTTCATTATTTACCTACTTTCATGAAACGTTTCATGAAAATGTTTTCTGTGACAATTAAAATCAGTCCCTTTTGGGGGCTGGAGCAATAGCACAGTTGGGTAGGGTGTTTGACTTGCACACGGCAGACCCGGGTTTGATACCCAGCATCCCATATGGTCCCCTGAGCACCGCCAAGAGTAATTACTGAGTGCAAAGCCAGGAGTAACCCCTGTGCATCGCCAGGTGTGACCTGAGAAAAAAGCCAGAAAAAAAATCAGAATCGGTCCCTTTTGGTTTTATTTTTTCCGTAATATTTAAAAATGTTATCACTTTTTTTTTTCATACTTCTCTCTGTCTTGCAATGGAAAAGATTGGCTTTTTTTAAAAATTTTTATTAGTGAAACACCATGAGATACAGTTGTAGACTTACAAATTTTTGTGCTTGGGTTTCAGTTATACAATGATCGAGTACCCATCCTTCCACTAGTGTCCATTCTCCACCACCACCAGTCCCAGTATCCCTCCCACCTCCCATCCCCCCATCCCACCCTGTCTCTGTGGCAGGGCATTCCCTTTTGTTCTCTCTCTCCTTTTGGGTGCTGTGGTTTGCAAAAGAGGCATTGAGTGGCAATCTTGTTCGGTCTATAGTCTACTTTCAGCACACTTCTCCCATCCTGGGAGGATCCTCCCAACACCTTTTATTTGGTGCTCCCTTCTCTATCTGAGCTTCCCTTTCCCCCAGCATGTGTGGCTGGCCTCCAAGCCATGGAATAAACCTCCTGTTACTTATCTCTGCTATTCTTGGTGACTCATTTCGCTTAGCTTGATACGTTCTGTGTAGTACCATTTGTATGTAAATTTCATGACTTCATCTTTTCTAACAGCTACGTAGTACTCCATTTTTTAGATGCATCACAGTTTCTTTAACCAGTCATCTGTTCTTGGCACTCAGATTCTGGCTATTGTAAACAGTGCTGCAGTGAACAAACAGTGCAGATGTCAGATGTCACTTTGGCTATACTTTTTTTGCCTCTCTGGGATATATTCCCAGGAGTGGTATTGCTGGGTCAAATGGGAGCACAAGATTGACTTTTTAAGGTTAATCAAGACATCTTAAATTGGATGAATAGAGGTCAGAAATTGTTTTAAAAGACAAAAAAAGAAAAGAACCTGATATTTTTTCTGTAACATCTTTCCACATACTAAAAGAGGTTATGTAATATGTAAATGTAAGTTTCCAAATTCTTAAATTCAGTAATTCCCCACCTAGATTACATGGATTACATGTGGGAAGGGGATCCCACCACCCTGGTCTCCAGATTCTGTATATACTTTTTTTTTAAGAAACCATACCTTATAAGTGTGATTGCGTTATGTTTTATTAGTGTTCCTATGCTTTACATGATCTAGGAACCAGGTCATTCTGCAGATAATGATTGAAGAGAAAGGCAGATACTATAGAAGCCAGGGAATTCATATCCAAATATTAGCTAGTGTTTTGTTTTCTTTTGTATAGACAAAAACCACAATTTTTTTTTTCCCCTTTATTTTATTTTTTTTTTTTTAAAGTTGTAGATTTACAATTTTTTGTGCTTTGGTTTCAATTATACAATGATCAGATACCCATCCCTCCACCAGTGCCCATTTTCCACCACCATGGATAATATCCCTCCCACCCCCATCCCCCCATCCCCCCGTCTCTGTGGCAGGGCAATCCCCTGTGTTCTCTCTCTCCTTTTGGGTGTTGTGGTCTGCAAAAGAGGCATTGAGTGGCAAACATGTTCAGTCCATAGTCTACTTTCGACATGCATCTCCCCTCCTGGGAGGATCCTCCAAACATCCTTTATTTGGTGCTCCCTTCTCTATCTGAATAGCCCTTTCCTCTAGGATACCCGGCTGGCCTCTAAGTTATGGAGTAATCCTCCTGGTGCTGATCTCAGCTATTCTTGGGTATTAATCTCATACTTTGTTACTTTATATCCCCCAGATGAATGCAATCTTTCTATGTCTATCCCTCTCTTTCTGACTCATTTCGCTTAGCATGATACTTTCCATATTGTACCACTTGTATGTAAATTTCATGACTTCATCTTTTCTAAGAGCTACATAGTACTCCATTGTGTAGATGTACCAAAGTTTCTTTAACCAGTCATCTGTTCTTGGGCATTCAGGTTTCTTCCAGTTTCTGGCTATTGTAAAGAGGGCTGCAATGAACAAACAAGTGCAGATGTCACTTCGACTATACATTTTTGCCTCTCTGGGATATATTCCCAAGAGTGGTATTGCTGGGTCAAATGGGAGCTCAATTTCTAATTTTTTGAGAATCGTCCATACTGTTTTCCAGAAGGGCTGAACCAGTGGACATTCCCACCAACAGTGAAGGAGTGTCCCTTTCTCGCCACATCCACGCCAGCATCGGTTGCTTTTGTTCTTTTGAATTTGGGCCAGTCTCTGAGGTGTGAGATGGTATCTCATTGTGGTTTTGATCTGCATCTCCCTGATGATTAATGATGTAGAGCATTTTCTCATGTGCTTTGTTGCCATTCGGATTTCTTCTTTGAGAAAGTTTCTGTTCATTTCATTGCCCCATTTTTGGATGGGGTTGGATGTTTTCTTCTTGTGGAGTTTAACCAGTATTTTGTATATCCTGGATATCAACCCCTTGTCAGATGTGTATTCGGTGAATATCCTTTCCCATTCTGTAGACTGTCTTTGTATTTTGGTCACTGTTTCTTTGGAGGTGCAGAAGCTTCTTAGTTTAAGATAGTCCCATTTATCTATCTCTGTTTTCACTTGCTCGGCCAGTGGCGTGGCATCTTTGAAGATACCATTAGCTTCAATGTCATGGAGGGTTTTGCCAACTTTATCTTCAATGTACCTTATGGTTTCTGGTCTGATGTTGAGGTCTTTAATCCATTTTGATCTTACTTTTGTACATGGTGTTAGGCAGAGTTCTGAGCCTATTTTTTTGCATGTAGCCATCCAGTGATGCCAACACAATTTATTAAAGAGGCTTTCCTTACTCCACTTCACATTACTTGCACCTTTATCAAAGATTAGATGAGCATATGATTGAGGAGAGATGTCAGTGTATTCAACCCTGTTCCATTGGTCTGCAGTTCTGCCTTTGTTCCAGTACCATGCTGTTTTAATTATTACTGCTTTGTAGTACAGTTTGAAGTTCGGGAGGTTGATTCCTCCCATTTTCTTTTTCCCAAGAATTGCTTTAGCTATTCGTGGGGGCTTATTGTTCCATATAAATTTCAAGAGTGTTTGCCCTCATGGGAAGGGGGGGCGTTCTGGTCCGTCCTTCACGCCCTACCGAGGTCACCAGTTGCCCCCCACGAGCGGCTCTCCAGCACGGCCACAGCCCCAGAAGCACAAGGGCTTAATGCAGAACCCAGCAGCTTGGAGCAGAAAAGTGAATGGACTATGCATTGATCCAGGCCATCAAGTCTGCCGGAGGGGAAAGGGTGTTGCCCCATTCGCCCTCTCCTCTCTGGAAAGAAAGATGGCGGCCACATGGGAGCCTTGTGGACAGCAGGTATGAGCCGGGAGTGTGGGGGCGACTAAAACCTCATGGGAAGGGGGGCGTTTCGGTCCGCCCTTCACGCCCTACCGAGGCCACCGGTTGCCCCCCGCGAGCGGCTCTCCAGCACGGCCAGGACTCCAGAACACAGAAACCAATTTCTTAACTATCTGACTTTCAGTAGAAATACTTCCAGGGTCAATAGGTAAAAGAGCAGAAATCCAAAACCAACATTTAATTCTTGAACCCAGCCGTAGAAAGCAAATCACTTCACAATGCTTTTTCAGCATGTCTGATTTGGGGGGGGGGGGGTAAACTCTAAATAATAGTGGTGAATCTTTTATTGAAACAATGAATCTAATCAAAGCAGATAGAGTGTTAACTAGAATTCATCTGCTTCACAGGGACGGGGAGGGGTGGGGGGTGGGGTTTTATTGGGGTTCTTCATGGTAAAAAATAAGTATTGGTAAAGGGAAATGTGTTTGATATTTGCATGACTGAGACATAAACCTGAAAGCTTTGTAACCTTTCCCACAGTGATTCAATAAATAAATTTAAAAAATAAATAAATAAATAAATAAATAAATAAATAAATAAAAAAATTTCAAGAGTGTTTGCTCCATTTCTTTGAAGAATGTCATGGGTATCCTTATAGGGATTGCATTGAATTTATACAATGCTTTCGGTAGTATTGAAAAACCACAATTTTCTTCCTATGCTGTTACCCTAAATTCATTAGTATCTGAAATTGGAGGACCTTATGGTAGGTCCTGAATATTGCATATTCATTCAGGAATAAATATTAGTTATAATGGATAAATTCACAATCAGATTCTAGAGCAGTTTTTACCATTGAATTATCTTTGTCAGTTTCAGATACTATCCAACTCCATGTTATCTCTGCTACAAGTCACTAGAGCAATTTGATTTTTTTTATTTTTGCAGAGACTGGCTTTGTAGTATTTGTCATTTATAGCAACTGAGGTTGACCCATCTATTTGATCCTTTTCTAAACCCTTCTCCAGTGGATTCTTGATTATCGTACAAGATATCTCTTTCCCATTAAATATAATCAAAAGATGGTTTGTCTAATTTATGTCTTCTTTCTTTGCCCTCTTAATCAGTCTAGGTGGTAGGAAGACTCTTTGCTAAAATCTCTTCCCTCTTTTACACCTCACTGTCACTGTCACCGTTTGTTCATCGATTTGCTCAAGCAGGCCCAGTAACATCTCCATTGTGACAATTGTTACTGTGTTTAGCATGTCGAATACATCACGGGTAGCTTGCCAGACTTTTTTCACCTCATTCCTTAGAAATTCCATGGCCTTTTAAGGGTTCATATAACCTTTTACAGTACCTAGCCTACCTCCATGCCACCTAGCTCTTTTGCTATAGTGAAACATTTATATACTACATATACATATTAGACAGTAGGAAAAGGTAATTTTGAATTTTCTGTGGTTCCTGGAACACATGATTATGAACCCTAGAGAATGACAAAGCATCTTGGTTGGTACTTTTCAGACCTGCAGGTATTTGGCAGGTGGGGGTTCTTGTGTGGCTGGGGGTTGAACCCAGAGCCTTGAACGTGCAAGGTTTGTGCTCTTTCCACTCGAGCCAGGCCCCCAATTCCTGGAAGTTTTGCTGCTTCATTGTTAAGTAATTGTAGTTTATATAAGAGCTGAAACCAATGGTTTCCAAGATATAAACACTGCTTTGCATTTGGTTTGGGAACTTATATGTGTATAAAAAGCCTAAAGTGTGGGGAGGAAGGCACCCATGTATTTCATGCCTTCTGGATGCTTGTGAATTAATTTTTCATCAAAAAATAATGATAGTGATATATTTTATACTTGTCTTTTTTATTTGAAGGTCATCAACATTCCATAATTTTGTCAAAATAGCACTAACCAAAAACCCCAAAAAAAGGCCAACTGCCGAAAGACTTCTGACCGTAAGTCATTGAAATTATGGAATTGTCTGTAGTCAGTCATGCAGTAATTAGATATAGCAGTAGAACAATAGTATTTTTGTTTTTAAGAGTAAAAATATAAAAAGGGGTCAGCAAACTTTCCATATAAAATCAAATGTGAGATCTAGACTTCATGGTGATACAGTCTGCTGTTACTATTCAGCTTGGCCTTTATGCACAAAGGCAGTAACAGACAGTACACAAAGAAATTGATTTGACTTTTATTACCAAGAAAAATATTTACATGAGTCAGTATACCTGATTTTGCCTGTGGGCTGCAATTTGCCAGCCCTTGTCTTAGAGAAAACTCTTAAAGATGTTGCTGACCTCTAAGATTGCTTTTATTGATTTTGTCTGTAAATATATATCGAATATTGTGTGTGTATTTGTGAAATACTTTTTATTAGCCTCTTAGGTTTATAGCAGACCTATTGAATCAAACCCTCCAAGTCATAGGTCAGTGATGGGATATCACTGTCACTCTCACTGTCCTCCCGTTGTTCATTGATTTTGCTCGAGCGGGTCTGGTAACATCTCCATTGTGACATTAGTTACTGTGTTTGGCATATCAAATACATCATGGATAGCTTGCCTGGCTTTGCCGTGTGGGTGAGATACTCTCAGTAGCTTGCCGGGCTCTCCAAGAGGGGAGGAGGAATCTAACCTGGGTCGGCCATGTGCAAGGCAAACGCCCTACCTGCATAATTTCAGCTATCTCAAAAACTAAATATTGGAACCAAAAAAGATAGTACAAAGTTTAAGGTGCTTGTCTTGCACACAGCTGACCTCAGTTCAGTCCCCAGCACGACATACAAATACTCAAAAGAGTAGCAGGTGTAATACCCTGAGCACAGAGCTAGGAGTAGTAACACCTGAACACCACCAGGTATGGCTACCTCCTCCTCAAAAACAAGCTAATTAAATATCATAAAGCTTATAATCTGTTCATATATTTTTTCTGATGTAAATATGCAAATTTGATTACTTGCCTTTTTAAAAAATTTACTGTGTTTATGAAAATAATTTTTTTATTTTTATAGTTTTTTATTTTTTAAAAATTTTTATTAGTGAGACACCATGAGGTACAGTTGTAGACTTACAGATTTTATGGAAATAAACTTTTTGTTGCCCAACAGTGTAATAACATGGATGATTGTAATTGTCTTTTTTTTTTTTGCTTTTTTGCTTTTTGAGTTGCCCACTGACATTCAGAGGTTTCTCCTGGCTCTGCACTTAGAAATTACTCCTGGCGGTGCTGAGGGACACCAGGGATTGAACCCAGGTTGTCCACATGCAAGGCAAATGCCCTATCCACTGTACTATCACTTTGGCCCCATGTCTTTATCAATATTACAGCTTTATGAGAAGAGATAGTGATAGCACAGCGGTAGGGCGTTTGCCTTGCACGCAGCCAACGTGGCCGACCCGAGTTCGATTCCTCTGCCCCTCTCCTCTGCCCCTCTCAGAGAGCCCGGCAAGCTACCGAGAGTATCTCGCCTCCCCCCCCCCCCCCCCCCGGCAGAGCCTGGCAAGCTCCCCATGATGTATTTGATATGCCAAACACAGTAACAACAAAGTCTCCAATGGAGACGTTACTGGGCCCGCTCGAGCAAACCGATGAACAACGGGAGGACAGTGACAGGGATGAGAAGAGGGACTAAGGCACCTTCCTTGCATGCAGCATGCCCCATTTCAGTCCCCATCACTCCAAATAGTGCCCTGAGCACTGCTGGGTGTGGCCCAGGGAAATACAACGAAAAAAGTTTAACTTTATAAGTTAATATAGATTAGAAAATTTTATTGGAGTGATAGCACAGCAGTAGGGCATTTGCCTTGTATGCAGACAGCCTGACCAAGCTGGGTTTGATTCCTCCACCTCTCTCAGAGAGCCCGGCAAGCTACCGAGAGTATTTCGCCCGCACGGCAAAGCCTGGCAAGCTACCCATGACATATTCAATATGCCAAACACAGTAATAAGTCCCAAAAAATGGAGATGTTACTGGACCTGCTCGAGCAAATTGATAAACAATGGGAGGACAGTGTGACAGTGTAGAAAATTTGATATAGAGAAATGATTATATTACAAATCTATCCCACAAAGCTTCTTTAATTTTACAGTATGTAAATATAGATTTTCTAATATTTTACTACCTGATTCTCTCATTTATATTTTCTCTCAGTATACCTTTTTTTGTTGTTTTTGTTTGTTTGGGGGACACACCAGAAGTGCACAGGGATTACTTCTGGCAGGGCTCAGGGGACCACAAGGGTGCCAGAATCAAACCTGAATTAAACCTTACTGCATACAAGGCATATATGCCCTCTCCTTTCTCCTTTCAGTAACTTTCTGATAGTTATTGAAAAGCACAAATAAGATTTTCTGAAAGTCAAAGGATGTGAAAACATACTTACAAAAGTTTTGTTTTATTTAGCATACTTTTGTAGGGCAACCAGGTCTCTCTAGGGCCTTAGCAGTTGAACTCTTGGACAAAGTGAACAATCCAGACAACCATGCACATTACACTGAAGGTGATGACGATGACTTTGAGGTAAGGAATTGTTGATGTCTAATATGTGTAGATCAGTGTTTTGTATGACATTAGAGTTTATTTTCTAATTCATTCACTTTGTTCAGAATACATTTATCAACTTCTTTAATAAATTAGTGACCTACTTTAAACCATATTTATTCTGCATATAATTGACAACTGATTACTTTTTTAATCAATTTAAAAAATTTGGGGGGGTGGGTGTGGAGAAAAATTCTTGTATAAAATACATAAGATAACTTGTTGATGTTTCTAAAAATCCTAGTTCTTCAACTAGGATTACTGTTCTTAAAACTGTTAGTCTAGGGGCTAGAGAGATAGTTGAGTGGGTACGATGCTGGCCTTACACACTACAAATCCAAGTTCAATCCCCAGAAACCCATGTGGTTCTCCAGCCCTGCCAGGCATGAGTACAGAAGTAAGTCCTTAGCACCTCTGGGTGCCACAAAACAAAATGAAAAACTGTTATTTGAATTCTTCGTTGGTTAACCTAGATTTTTTAAGAGATAACCAAGATTAGTATTAGATCTGCCCAATCTTTTTCTAGAAATCTAGAGGTGAAACTGTTACTGATTGTTTTCCTATCATTATAGGTACTTTTCTTTCTTCCTGTATCTCAGCTTCTAAAGTGAGAGTTTGACCTTTCTGACTACATAAGAAGGTTTTAATTGTGCTGCCTTACACTACAAGAACATAAGTTTAGCCACAGAACAGTTGCTTATATTTTTTTTCCACAAAAAACTCCCTAGAAATTCAACTGGTCCTTTTTTTGTAGTTCTCTATTATACAGATCATTAATAGAATACAAATAATTTTTAAAGGTTCTCATAGAAAATATCATTTGTAATATTTATTCAAGACTAATTACATAGTTGCTCATAATTGTGTGCTTTCTATGAAAATAGAATTATCTTGAATAGCACTATATTAACAATGTTCATTAAGTAACAACTTAGTTAACTAGTTAATCAGGAACAAGGGTCTTCCTACTCACTGACAGGTTCTTATTCCTGTTTATATAAAACACAATGCTGCATTTTTTTAAAACTGGGCTGTAATTACTTTTATTTTTTTAATTTATTTTTAAATTTTAACTTTATTCTTTTTCTTAAATTTTTATTCGTGAAACACCATGATGTACATTTGAAGACTTAACAAATTTTTGTGCTTGGGTTTCAGCTATACAATGATCAAATACCCATCCCCCTACCAGTGCCCTTTCTCCACCACCACCAGTCCCAGTATCCCTCCCACCCCCCATCCCCCCATCCCACCCTACCTCTGGCAGGGCATTCCCTTTTGTTATCTCTCTCCTTTTGAGTGCTATGGTTTGCAAAAGAGACATTGAGTGGCAGTCTTGTTCGGTCTATAGTCTACTTTCATCATGCATTTCCCATCCTGAGAGGAACCTCCCAACACCCTTTATTTGGTGCTCCCTTCTCTATCTGAGCTGCCTTTTCCCCTAACGATGCTGCATTTTTAAAACCATATCTCTTCCTCTCCTTTCAAGATTTATCTTTATTTCTGTGTTTCTTTAAAACTCTCTAAGTTAAGACTAAAAATCAACTTTATGTATTGTTACTTATTGAAGGAAGTTTTCTATGTTTTTAAATTTAAAACCTAAGTTTAAGTACCATAACTACCATAACTACCATAACTCATTAGATAGGCATTATGTAATAAGAAAAAAGCCAAACAATTTTTATATAAACTCAGTGTTCAAAATAGTCCTTTGCAATAGGGTAATATCCCCATTTCACAAAGGGAGAAAGGGAAGAAGAATTGAAGTAAATTTCCTAAGATCATGACTAGTAAGTAATGGGATTAGAATCTGAGTATAAGCAAACTAACTCCAGAACCTACTCCTTCAGTTAATACATGTGCTTTCTGTGTATGTACTTGAGTATAAATACTCTTGAGAAATCTTTGAACACTGATAGTAAAAATACTTCATATTCTCAATTGAAGCCCATTTAATAACCAGTGAATTTTAATTGAAAATATTAGATAAACCATACATAACTTTGTTTCCTACTTAATCCTTTACTTGCAGACTTGTGATTAAATAGGTTTTGAATTCCTCAAAAGTTTAAAAATTATTCTTAAATGTACAAATGATGTACATTTGTACAAAATTTCCCCCAACTAGTTTTTCACTGGTTATGTTCCCTTTTTGTGGGCTTCTGAAATCCACTTTGCCTTTGAGTTCTGACTTTCTGTTCAGTGATAGTATCACCATGCTTTTCAGTCCTTAAAATGGAGAACTTTGTATAGGTAGTTGATTCATGAGATTGATGCTGTCTCACCCTTGTAGCAGACATAGAAGCCATTCTCAGTATTCAGGGAATGAGACTGAGTCAGAAATCTGACAGATAAGGCCGGAGCTATCTATTATAGTTTCAAAGGATCAGGAATAGATACAACATCTAAGAAGTAAGTTGTTACTTGATTTTAGTTTCATGCATTCCATATTTCTCCCTTTCACACTCTTACACACTTAACAGATTACTTACACACTTACTCAATCTTACACACTAGCCAGTTTACAGATCATTTCTGTGAAGTTTTGCCAGAATTCCTTTTTGGGGAAGAGGGAGGGGGAGGGGACACATCCAGAGATGCTCAGGGCTTACTACTGGCTTTGCACGCAGGAATCACTCCTGGCAGTGCTCAGGACAATATGGGATGCTGGGGATTGAACCCAGGTCAGCCATGTGCAAGGCAGACATCCTACCTGCTGTTCTATTGCTCAGGGCCCACCAAAATTCCTTTCCAAGAAAATTAAATTGAGACCCTTTTCTGACATTCAGAGCCTTCCATACCTTGGCTCATCTTTTCAGCTTTTCCATTTCTTTACTAAATATATACTGTATCCAAAAAAATAATAAGCCTCAGTTTCCTATACATCACAATTTCCTTTTCTTCTTGCATTTGCTTTGCTCCTTTCTGCTATCTAGAATAATGAATACTCTGTGATATAGAATAGTGTAGCACATTGCTACTCATTCAGTGCCCGCTTGTCTTTCAAAGCTTCAGATCATATCATCTGTCATGAAGAACTTCACTTTTAGGTGGAAGTCATTTCTCATTCTCCTGGATATTGAAAGTAATCTTAATGACACTTATCACTTTTTAACCTTGGAAATATTTGCATTTTATCTTTCTCGACCAACTCCTAAAAGATAAACTATGTGTTTGTGACTGTCTTTGGATCCCTTCCTTTTTTATACTTCCTTTTTTTATAAACATAGAGTAGTGTTCATTGTTATCTTTGTGTTTATCTTATAATTTACTACTAGGAAGTCATGTTTGTCAATAATGATTGTTTAATCTTAAAAAAGATAAAGTTTGGCCTGTCAACACTATCATTGGCATTTTTGAAGTATATTTATTTTGCTTATATTTACAGCCCCATGCAATCATTCGTCATACCATCAGATCTACAAACCGGAATGCCAGAGCTGAAAGGACAGCTTCAGAAATAAATTGTATGTGTTTAGTATACATTCTCTACTGATAGTTTTGGAGGGTTGAGCTGGGTGTACTCATTTATTTTTATTTTTATTTTTTGAATAATAAAATACAAACTAGGGGTACATTAACATAATAGAATAACTTTAAAATAGAGGCTGCTTTTCTGGTTTATAATTAAATTACTTGAGGATATAGAAAATAGATTTTTTTTTTTTTATAATTTATTTATTTATTGAATCACTGTGGGAAAAGTTACAGAGCTTTCGGGTTTAGGTCTCAGTCATGTAGATACCGAACACATTTCCCTTTACCAATACTCATTTTTAACCCCGAACCCCAATAGACCCCCACCTCCCACCCCTCCCAATTCTTATGAGGCAGATGAGTTCTAGTTAATACTCTATCTACTTTGACTAGATAGATTATTTCGATAGAAGATGCACAATTATTGTTTAGAGTTTACGACCCACCCCCCCCCCAATCAGACATGCTGAAACAGCGTTGTGAAATGATTTGCTTTCTACAACTTGGTTTAAGAATAAAATGATGTCGCGCGGCCGCGATAGCGGCCGCGCGGTTTTGAATTTCTGCTATTTTACTTATTGACCCTGGAAGAATTTCTATTAAAAGTTAGCTAGTTAAGAGATTGATTTCTGTGCCCTGGAGTCGTGGCCGTGCCGGAGAGCCGCTCGTGGGGGGCAGCTGGCCACCTCGGTGGGGCGTGGGGGACGGCCCACAAAGCCCCCCTTCCCATGAGGTCCCTGCCGCTTCCCCGAGCCCGGCTCAAACCCGCTTTCCACAAGGCTCCCGTGCGGCCGCCATCTTTCTTTCCAGAGAGGAGCGGGCGGGCCGGTCAACGCCCTTCCCCCTCCGGGCAGGCTTGGTGGCGCGGATCAACACAAGTCCATTTGCTTTTCTGCTCCAAGCAGCTGGTTCTCTGTGCTAAGTCCTTGTGCCTCCGGGGCCGTGGCCGTGCCGGAGAGCCGCTCGTGGGGGGCAGCTGGCGACCTCGGTGGGGCGTGGGGGACGGCCCACAAAGCCCCCCTTCCCATGAGGTCCCCGCCGCTTCCCCGAGCCCGGCTCAAACCCGCTTTCCACAAGGCTCCCGTGCGGCCGCCATCTTTCTTTCCAGAGAGGAGCGGGCGAAAATAGATTTTTTTAAATTAATACACAGTGAGATATTTTCTTAGACGTGCTTCAATTATGGTTGAGCTGGTAACTTACAGTAATATACTGCACAATGAAGTTTTGAATGAATGCACTCATAAAACTTCTATCCAGATCAAGATAGTGGTGAACATTATCAGAATATTTCAAGAGTCTTTCATTCCTTTGTAATCAATATTATGTCTTCCAATATGTCCTCCAATGCTCCACTGCACAGCTGAAAAGATGAGCCAAAATTAAACATTGATTTTTCTTGATTTTAATGTTCACATAAACACATCCTTTTTGCCTGATTTGTTTTGTTCAAAGTTATGTCTGAGAGTAATGCATGTCATGTGTAGCAGTAGTTGATTATTTTGCCCAGCGCTCTAGATATTTCCCTGAGCCTCCCAAGAGTGATCCCTGAACAGGAGTAAGCCCCAAGCATGGTTGTGGCCCAAAATCTTTTAAAAAATAGAAGGTTAACAACATTTAAAAAGTAGATGATTAAGAAAACACCAAAGGGGAGTGTATGTTCAAACTATACAAAGCAACTGAAATCTACTTTGCCTTTGAGTTCTGACTTTGTGTTCAGTCCATTACCCATATTCTGTTCCGAGAATATGGGTAATGCATACCACAGGGCTATAATCCTTCAGATTTGGGAAATACATGGTGGTAAAATCTCATAGCACCCTGGCTTTCTGCTTGAGTGCACTTTTAAAATTAGGGTAGAATTGGGACCTGAGAGAGAGAGCACAGCAGGTAGAGTACTTGCCTGGTATGTGGCCAACCGAGGGTCAATTTCCAGTATCCATATGGTTCCTTGAACACCACGAGGAGTGATTCCTGAGTGCAAAGCCATGAGTAACCCCTGAGCATCACCAGATGTGTCCCAAAAAACAAACAAAAAAATTGGGATAGGAGCAATTAGATAGTGCCTGCATGGAAAAGAGGGTCCTAAAATATATCAAGAGGTTTACTTAAATTTTTGGTTGAAAATCAAGTTGCCCTTAAGCAAAGCAAAATTGTGCAGTTAATATTAGAAAAAGGAAGTGTTGTCAACAAAGCGCTATGAGCTAAGATAGTGGTGATCTCCAGGAAAAATATCTACCCAGAAAGTTTTTATCCAGAGGTAAATACGTTGATGAAATAATCAAATCTGAGATAAACCTTGAGAAGATCAAGTAGATCTTGTAGTTAACTCTGAATGAGTACTCTTTTAAAATAGAGGACTGGAACTGGAGAGATCATACCATGGATAAGGCACTTGCCCTGCACACAGGCGACGCAAATCAGATCCTGAGCATCCCATGTGGTTCTCTGAGCACAGCCAGGAATGACCCCTGAGCATTGCAGGTGTGGCCCAAAACCCTCTAATAAAAATAGAGGACAAAATCCAGATATTCCATGTTGTATCACATTATCTAAGATACAATAATTAATGATTAAGAAAAAAGCCAAGAAAATAGAGAACATAACCCATTGAAAATTATAAACAGAATAAGATCACATAATATTGAAGTTTGAGTCAGCATTCATAAAGTTTTTAATATAGTTTTATAAATATGCTTAAAGATTTAAGAGAAAAGGTGGACTCAAGTGAAACATGGAAAATTCTCAGTAGGAAATTTAAAATTATAACCTATGAAATTCTTCAAGTGGGCTAATATGTTATTAAGTCCAGAGAAGATTGAATTTGAGGCAGCCAGTTTGAGCAAATGTGGTCCCAAGTACTCCAAATTTGACAAAAATTATGAATTTTTTGACATAAGTATCTCAATGACATCCAAATAAAACAAAGAAAAATATACCTAGGCATATCACAATTGCTAAATAAAACAAAATGACAAAATGAAAAACCCATGGAAGTTTCATGGTGAAATACCTATTAAAAATCACAGTGATGTGGGGTTGGAACAGTGATATAGTGGGTAGGGTGTTTTGCTTGCTGACCCGGCTTCCATCCCCAGAATTCCTTATGGTCCTCTGAATCTGCCTGGAGTAGTTTCTGAGTGCAGAGCCAGGAGTAAGCACTCAGCATTGCTGGGTGTGGTCCCAAAACCAAAACAAAAGAAACTGGTATACTCAAATGGTTCCAGCAGTTGCCTTACCCACTCTACTATCTCTCTGTCCTGTTAACATCTCATATGCAAAAAGTGATATTTGATTTCTTCACTCCAGTGAATAAAACATGTTAGGAAACTATTACTTTGTTTAATAAACATAAAGGATGGGTACTATTGGAGGAAAAATAAGAAATTTTTTCTTCACTACTTGGTTCCCACCTCCGACCCAATTCATATGCTTCTTATTACGTTCCAAGATCAGCCTTTCAATAAAGAATTTATAAATATTTTTATATGTTTTGCAGTTGACAAATTACAATTTGAACCACCTTTGAGAAAAGAAACCGAAGCCCGGGATGAAATGGTAGGAATTATGACTGTTATAATATTATGCACCAAAAATTTTGAGAAAACTTGATTAGGTTTACTTGATTTTTGAACAAAGTAATATATTCATTTCAGCATTAATTTTAAAAATTTATTTATATGTTTAAGTTTTAAAAATCTTTGATATGTTTTAAATAGAAGACAGTATATCATCACATATAGCTATTTTCCTTTATGAATCTTTTGAAGAATTTCCTTGAAGTTAGCGGAAATATATCACTTGATACTTAGCTTTAAGCAGTCAGGTTTTTGCTTACTGCTTCTGTGAGGTTTACTTTACATCTTTGTATTCCCTTACTATTAAAATTTTTTTTTCCTTATCAATTTTAAATGTAGTTAGCAAAAACCTTATTTGTTATGTGTACCTGTTCATTTTTTAACAATTGCTTTTATTTTGAGATTGCTATTTAATGAATCCTTTCCTTACCTAAAGACAAAGAATAAAGTAAGATATAATTAGTCAGCCTAACTTAACATCTACTTTATTTTTATGGAGCTATAGCACAGCAGTAGGGCGTTTGCCTTGCATGCAGCCAACATGGCCGACCCGAGTTCGATTCCTCCAGCAAGCTACCGAGAGTATCTCGCCCGCCCGGCAGAGCCTGGCAAGCTCCCCGTGGCGTATTCGATATGCCAAACACAGTAACAACAAAGTCTCCAATGGAGACGTTACTGGGCCCGCTCGAGCAAATCAATGATCAACGGGAGGGCCTTTACCTTACCTTTACCTTAGTAAAACTATAGTTTTTGAGGATGATTGCTGTTAGTCAGTTGCATCATCCTTAAATAGTGCTCTTCTTGCTTTATAATACAACAAGTATAAACATAATACAAGTATGTATGTATTGCTATATAATAAAGCCTCACTTTTCATGCTAGGAGTATCTAAAAAATATAGCTCTAAGTAAATTAATGAGATTTTACTAATAGAATGTTTTGTTCTCTGTTTTGATGCAGAAAAATCAAAGTTATTTTGTTCTCTTGCTTTGGAAATAACTATCATGCTGTGTAGAGATATGTTCATGGAATTTCTTAAATTTAAATCAACTGATAATGATGAGTCATTGACTAAAAATGTGTCATATGACAATGATTCTAGCCAAGGACTTTTTTTTAATGTTTAAAAGTCAGTTAAATTATAATCCAGTGTTTTCTTGAACCATATAAAGTGGTTAGTATTTATTGTAAGTTTGACATGTTAAGCTCTTTCTTTTCTTTTTATCTTCTTAGGGTGTGTTCTCAGACCCAAACTATGTATTACAGTGGAATCCTTTTGTTGATGGTGCAAATACCGGCAAGTGAGTTGTTGTCTAGCTAAGTAACTTTATATTACTCAATTCATGTAAGAACAACATTAAGAGGAGGCACTGATTTATTATATAATAATTTTTCATATAATAATTTTTCTTTTTTTATTCTTTTAAAGATGATATGAAATCTTTTCCCATTGTCAAGTTTCTACTTAGAGATCTGGGATTTGCAAACTATGGCCTAAGCCCCATTGCCTATATTTTTAAATTGCCCACTAAATAGAGTGGTATTTGTATTTTTTAGTTATTTTTAAAAAATTAGTATTTTATTACATGTGAAAATTATATGAGGTTTAGAAATTCAGGTTTGATAAAGGTTTGTTGGCCTACAGCCACACCCGTTAGTTTATATATTATCTCTGGCTGCTTGCTTGCTCCCGAGAATTGAATAGCTGTAACCACTGAATAGTTTTTAAAGCCCTGTTTATTGTCAGGCCTTTTATATAAAAGTTTACCAACACCTGCTATAGAATATAGTTTTCTTAAGAAATCCTGCAAACTTCTAATTGATTGCTGTGACTGTGGATAAATGTGTGGAATAAGTGAGTTGATGTGCCTGGAGGGCCACCTGGATCGTCTTGCTTAAAATGCAGATTTTGTATCAGTAGCTTTAGAGAATCATTTTAACAATTTTCTCTATGGCTGATCTCTGGATCACACTTGGAGTAATAGCAAAGGACGGGATAATACAGTAAAATTCAGAATTTATTTTTGTTACTAAATTTAAATTTATTTTTATGACATGCTAAATGTGACAACCTCTAGAAAGGAACTGTGTTGGGGATCAGAGTGATAGTATATCTGGTAGGGTTTGCCTTATGTGCTACTGACCTGGGTTTGATCCCCAGCACCCCATATGGTTCTCTGAGCACCACCAGGTCTTATCCCTGAGCTCAGAGCCAGGAGCAAGTCCTTAGCACCACTGGCCGTGACCCAAAGAACAAATAAAACCAATATCTTCATTTTATAAAATATTTTTATTATGATCAAACCAATGCAGAGTAATAGAACCTAAATAAGATCTTGATCACTTGATTTCCTGTTACTCATCGATTTGCTTGATTGGGCGCCAGTAATGTCTCCTTTCATCCCTGTTGCGTGCTAGTGTAGCCCAGTGGCGTCTGTTTATTCTAGGAACACCAAGCGCCTCAAACCGATCGTTCAGGGTCTTGACGAAGAAGTCTGACCATCTTGTAGGTGGGCGGCCACGTGGTCTTTTGACATCCCGTGGAATCCAGATCTTAGGAATAAGATGTTAGGGCTTAATAAATAAAAATATTTTGTATTATAGTTTTTGGGGGGCTTTACATCACCTGAATATAAACAGATTTTAATACACATGTACTGGTGTCTCTGTATTATGTTACCATCATTTATCAGCAAAATTCCTTTTTTCTTACTGTACTAGATCAACTTCAAAACGTGCAATACCACCTCCCCTACCTCCTAAGGTGAGCTGTTTAAGATTTTGAGCATAAATCTTTGTTTAAATAATATTTACATTAAATTATTTTTAAAGATTTATTTTAGCTGGATGAAGTGGCTCAGTGACAGATCATTTCTCAAATGCATTCTTGGGTTCAATTCCTAGTACCACCAAGAAAAGTCATCTTCAGTGCTTCTAATTATTGAAATATTTTGTAAATCTCTTACATTATTTCATTGATTCTAATTGTTTTTGGTTTTTTTTTTAAGTTCAAGGCTGATGTAAAAAAATCACACGGCAGACCCAAAGAGATAGGACAGGGGTTAAGGCACTTGCCTTGCATGTGATTGATTGACTGGGTTTAATCCCCAACACAACATAGGGTCCCCGTGCTCTGCCAAGAATGATCCCTGAGCACATAACCAAGAGTAAGCCCACATCAGGTGTGGCCCCAAAACAAGAACAAAACATGCAACAAGCTCACAACATAACTTAACTGTAGTTCACTTTGTTCATTTTTCCCAGTGAATTGAACTTCATAGAAGAAACACGGCATATTTTCCTCCCCCAAGTCTTGGATGACTAGTGATAACAGAGTTATTATTTTTGATAGAAAATTATTAAAGTCTATATGCCTTTTATTGTCACTAGCCAAGGATAAACAATTATCCTGAAGACAACCTTCCTGATGAAGAAAAATCATCAACTGTAAAACGGTGCCCTGATTCAGAGAACAGAGCTCCCCATGTTCTCCGAAGACAGAGTAGCCCGAGTTGTGTTCCAGTTGCCGAGGCATCCTCTATTGGTATGGCTAGCAGTATCAGCAGCCTTGGAGCGCATACAGCCAGATACTGTGATCTGGGTAAATAAATGATAGTGGAAAGGGAAAAGAATTTGTTTCCTATGTTAAATATCCCTTCCCCACCCCACCCTTAGTATAAAATCTCACCTGTTTAAAGCTTTGTGGAGATTTTTTAAATTCCATATGAAATGAGCCAAAATAGATTCAGCCCAATTCAGTCCTAATGTAATCTTGGATTAACGGAATTTTGAAAAATGGATGCATTTTTCTGCCCTCCAGATGTTCAGGTTCTGTGGCAAAAGTTAGGATATCTTTGTGAAGCACTGTTTTGTAATAGAAAACAAGAGCTATTGAAACGAGATGAGGCGAGGCAATAAGAAGGTGAGGTTTGCAGAATATTACTGGACTTGCTGAAATGATGGCAGGCAGTCTGAAGAATTGAAAGACCTAATGGATACAGACAAGGGAGAAAACCTGAGCTGTGTTGAAACTACTTTTTAGTGTGATAGGAGTGAAAAAGAAACACCTTTGTTGTAAACTCAAGGAATAGAACTCTAAAGGTAAATGAGGTTTCATTTTTAAACGAAAGGCACTTGGTCCTTTAACTTTTCTAACAATATGGAAAATCAGTTATTGTTTTCATGAATTTAAGTCACTGATAATGATACAGTGCTGCATCACAATAGAAAGACCATTGATACCTGACTCCTCTGTTAGTAATGAATGTTTCCCAATAATGTAGAGGGAAAAGGTATTGGGGGAGTTGGGGAACTATTTTTCAAGGAACATACTGGTTAGTCATTAAACTTTTAACTGTGATTCTCTCTAGGAAATGGTGATGGTATTTCAAAACTGATTAGTGAAAATACAGAAGGATCAGCACAAGCTCCACAATTACCACGAAAAAAGGACAAGCGAGACTTCCCTGTAGGTATAGCAGGCACTTAGCAGTTCATTACGACAAATGCTGTGTTTATCATGCACGGGCATAGGCTGTTTAATTGAGGAATTTAAATAACTGAATCTCCAAATGTGTGAAAGTGTTTTTAAGACTTAAGAGATCTTACAGTATTCAAAATTATTTTTCTTACAGAAACCTGCCATCAATGGCCTTCCACCTACCCCAAAAGTTCTGGTAAGAAATACTTTTATGAGAACTACTTGGCATTGTTTATCTCTATGCAAGCAGTAGTAGATGATTTGTTTGCCACCAAGTATAGAGAACTGTAGACAGGAAAAATATCTTAAAATACATTTGGGCGTGCTATGTTTCAATATATATTACTTTGTAATTGGTTACAATTTGAAGAGGTTGTTTTGTTTTGTTTTGTTTTTTTCCAAATTGACAATTATGTACTCAGCATAGTCTATAAAGATCAAGTAAATTTTATTATGATAATGAAATTTCTTTATGATTTCATTATGATTATAATTATGATTATGATGATGAGCTCAGAAAATAATGTGCAGGGGTTGCGGGCTGCTGTGACGACGTGGCCTAGAACCATCTCCCCAGTCCTACTCAGGCCTCCCCAGCAGAGAGAGAGACAAACACACGGAGACAGGGGACCACAGCCTGATGTTGAAAATGGTCTGTTTAATGCACAGCTGCTAGCATACTTACAGAACATCTGAGGGGGGTTGAGTAAGGATATAGGTGTGATTGATCATTTACATAGGTAAGACATCTGGAGATTTACATAGATCATTTACATAGATAAAATGTAGGAAATTCTCTTTTTGGGAGATTAAGTGAAGGAAATTCTCTTTTGGAGAGAGTGTCAAGGAGACACTCTGTCTTCCAGGACATCTACTTTGCTTTTATCTTTCCCTAGGGTTGTATGTTGTCATACAGTTCACTTATCCTTCCCCAGGGGGGTCCTGTCTCTTAAGTCATTAACAGCTTGCGTCAAGATCATGCATTTATGCTTTCTAGATTGCCCCATTTCAATGCCAGCATAGCTTTGCCACTCACCCAAGGTCCATCCCACTCCTACAGCAGGACCTCCTTTTTGGGGTGTTAGGAACTACAGCAATAGAAGCCTGAGTCAAGTAATTATGATAGAAGCCCAGGAGTAGATATATTTTAGAGTCAGTCAACTTTCCAGATATTAGGAGCATAGCATTAATGGTTTTTCTGTATTTAACCAAAGAACATTGCTCTATAGTAAAATATAAAAAGGCCATAGGGAAAATAAAAAAGCAGGTACAGATACAAAGCACTTCAAATACAAAACACTACAAATACAAAGTTCAGAATTACCAGAAAAGTTTTGGCTTGTAGGTAATCAAGCCTGACTTGGGGAACTGTGACAATAAGAGGTAAATACAAAGAAAAGGTCAAAAATAAACTTTAAATTAGGGATGCGAGCAAGGGCACTATAAGCTTCTCTGAGAGGAAGGAAAAGGGACAATTCACTGATGAGGCCTAAAACACTTAGGGTTAATATCCAACAATATATATAATCAGATAAATGTAAAATCTTGTATGTTTTCACTGTTATGGTATTATAATCACCATAGTGATACTTATTAAAGTCATCCATTGTTTCATACTAATATTGGTCATTAATATTCCCAGAATATATCATTGATATACATGCACTGTAGCACTGTCCTCCTGTTGTTCATCGATTTGCTCGAGTGGGTACCAGTAATGTCTCCATTGTGAGACTTGTTATTGTTTTTGGCATATCGAGTACACCATGGGTAGCTTGCCAGGCTCTTCCGTGAGGGCAGGATACTCTTGGTAGCTTGTCGGACTCTCCAAGAGGGACAGAGGAATTGAACCTGAGGCGACTGCATGCAAGGCAAATGCCCTACCTGCTTATTGTTGCAGCCCATTGATATACATAGATATTTTAATAAATTTGATATTTTGCTCTCAAATACTACTACAAGAATAGGCGTTAGACGGGGACATTGGTGGTGGGAAACACCAATTGGTTAAACTGGAGACATTGGTGGTGGGAAATGTACAATGGTGAAGGGATAGGTGTTGGAACATTATATAACTGAAACCCAGCTATGGACAACCTTGTAACTGTATCTCACTGGGATTCAATTTAAAAAATTTTTTAAATAAGAATATGAGATGAAATAGGTTAGTTATATCAAATATATCATATTTTATAATCACAAGTAATTTAATTATTTGCATAATTCAACCAAGAGTAAGATTAACAGTCCATAGCAATCTTTACTATTTTTTAAGAAAATATGAAGCATTACCTAATCAAATAACTCTATATTTCTTTCACTATAAATAAGATGGGAGCATGTTTTTCCAAAGTTTTTGATGGCTGTCCTTTGAAAATTAATTGTGCAACATCTTGGATACATCCTGATACAAAAGGTAAAATTTCTGAATTTTTTAATAGCAATTTTTAATAAAATGTTTGTTGTGAGCAAGGATCCTCCTTATCAGTGAGCTACTATTGTTTTGTTTTTTCATTTTTGGGGGAATTTGGGCCACACCCTGCATGCTCTGCACTCAGGGATCACTCCTGGTGGACTTAAGGGACTAGATGGGGTGCTGGGGATCAAGCTTTATCACAGGCCCCTAATTATAGGTTATAAATGCATCTGTTAGCATAATAGAATTATTTTAGCAATAAGAAAATGTGTTTATATTTTATTTTTGATATAATTTAAAATGTATAAAAAGATTAGAAAATAGGTTAAGAAATTCTATATTTAGAATTATCCATGTTTCTGTCTCATTTGTTTTATTATTCTTGATGTATATTTTTCCGAATTTCTTGATAGTTCAAACTATCTTGTTCCTCATTTCCTTATACTTTCTTTAGCTTGTTTTCCTGCTAAAGAATCATCTCTTATATAACCACAGTACATTTGCAAAGAAAATCTATCAATATATATTTTATAATTCAGTTTGTTTAAATTGTATTACTTTTCCCAATATTTTCCTGTTTCATCTCCTTTCTTCTATTGAAAAAGTCCAATATTCAGTCAAAGGCTGTCTTGTTAACCAAATTCAGGAACCATTTTGCAACCTTCTTTGTCTTTTTTGAACTTGACATTTTGGGGCTGCTTGTGGCACATCCCATAATTTGGATGTGTTTGATGAGTCCTTTTACAGGAATATTACAGGTATGTTACTGGACTGATAACTGTGCATTAGATCAGGAGAGACAGATCAGCTGTCCAAGTATTGCTGATTATGTCAATGTCATTAACTTCCTGCACACAAGTTAATATTCTCATTTTGTAGTTTTTTATTTCTGAGCTCATAGTAGTTTGTGTGAAGATACATTGAGATCAATTAAATATCGTCTTGACTTTCTCTGATAGTTTTTAAAATTTTTTTTATTTTAATGTAAGAGTATTGCTATTTGGGCTGGAGTGATAGCACAGTGGTAGGGCATTTGCCTTGCACGCAGCCAGCCCAGCTGAGCCGGGTTCGATTCCTCCGCCCCTCTTGGAGAGCCTGGCAAGCTACTGAGAGTATTCAATATGCCAGACACAGTAACAAGAAGTCTCACAATGGAGACGTTACTGGGCCCACTCGAGCAAATCGTTGAACAACGGGAAGACAGTGACAGTGATTGCTATTTATTCAGGCATTGACTAGGCTGATTGAATTAGGCATGAACTTGAACTTACTTTTTTTTTCCCTTTTTATAAATTTGTTTATTGAATCACTGTGAGAGCTGTTACAAAGCTTTCGGGTTTAGATCTGGGTCATACAATGATGAAACACCTATCCTTTCACCAGTGCCCATTTTCCACCACCAAACACCCTAGTATATCCCCCATCCCACACCCTCCCCCACCTGTGGGGCAGATGATTTCCACATTACTCTCTCTCTACTTTGATTACGTTCAATCTTTCGACAACCAGACCCACCATTATTATTTGGGATTTTATCCCAACGCTCAAATCTGCTGAAAAGGCAACCATAGTCAATTTGTTTTCTATTTCTGATTATGAATAACATATGTCATGCAGCCACAGTAGTGGCTGCGTGATTTTGAAATTTTGAAATTTTAACACTTAAATCTGGAGGGATTTCTGCCAAAACCTGCTGAATTCCGAGATTTGTTCCTGAGTCTGGGATCATGGCCGTTAAGCAGCTTCATCAGGAGCCAGAGAGGCCATTTGTAGGTGGCAACTCGGAGTCTCGTTGGAGCAGAGAGGAAATGGCCAGTTCCACCCCCCTTCCATGAGGCCCCACGTGTCTCGTCACTGTGGGCCCAAATCTGAGTGTCGAATGGCCTCTGGAGGATGGTGACCAGTAGGCCGCCAGGGGGAACAGGCCAAGGCACGAAACCTATTCCCACCTTGGGGTGGCCTGGCACCAGAAACCTACTGTGGGAACCAGACACATTTCTGCCAAAAGCTGCTGGGTTTCAAGATTTGTTTCTGAGTCTCTGGGATCATGGCTGTTAAGCATCTTGATCAGGTGCCAAAGAGGCTGTTCGTGGGCAGCGACTCAGGGTCTCTTTGGAGCAGGGAGGAAAGAGCCAGCTCCACCCCCATCCTGTGAGGCCCCGAGTGTCTCGTCACTGTGGACCCAAACCTACTTTCCAATGGCCTCTGGAGGATGGCAGCCACCTCCAGGGGGAATAGGCAATTCTCTGATAGTTGTATCCATTGACAATCTACTGGCAGCCCACTGACATCAGTTCACTGTTTCATTCCCATTTCTTCATGTGCTCAATACCAGTTTGAATTTCATGTCTTATTTTCTCTTCAGTGAAAAATTATTTACTGCCACTATATTTTATCAGTAAGTACTCCCAGAATTTTTGATCATGGGAGTTTCTGTGTTTTTCTGTTTAATGTGTGCCTTATTATTTTTTTAACTTATTTTCATACACAGTAAGATTTCTAGTCTCACTTTATATTTTCCTTCCTAGAGATGGAATCAGTTTTTTCTCCAATAACCCCTGGTGCTTTTATTTTTTAACCCCTGGTGCTTTTTAGCAGAAAATAATATTTAGAAATCAAGGTCTAGATGTTAAATGTGATTTTGTATTGTTTCAGTGTGTCATGGTTTAAATTTGTACTTCATTTAAATTTGTTTCCTTGTTCAAAGAATATTAGATGTACTGTATAAAAATGTACAGCTATAATAAATTTAAATAGGAAAATTAAGTTGAAGGATTGTATAGTAAGTAAAACAAAACAGTGAATTAGTAACAATATGTTTTTTAAGATGAAATTTGGGCTACAGCTCAGAAAAGCAAAAGATGACGTAATACTCGTGGTTCTCTAAATGACTGCATTCTGTGATACAGCTTTCTGTCATTGCTTTTTGTGGTGTTAAGTGACTTGCATAAATGATGTAAATATGACAACTTTTAAACTCAGTTTTTGAGCAGAGTGATTTATGAATCTTCCCACAAAAAATGCATAATTTTTTTTTTGCTGAGCTTGAGGAAAGAGGTAAAGAAGGTTTAATTAAAAAAAATTTATCTGTGATAGCTAAGGTATTTGTTTTGTACTTGGGTAACCCAGATTTAATCCCTGGTACCTCATATGGTCCCCCAAGTCTTTCAGGAGTTACTCCTGAGTACAGCCCCAATACTAAGACCTGAGCACAGCCAAGGTATGCTTACTATCTCACCACCACACCCCCAAAGATGGTGACATTGATTTTAGAAAGTAACTTTTTTTGAAGCCAGAGAGATGGTGCTGCAGTGTGTCAGATGCTGACTTGCATGCAGCTGACCCAGATTTGATCCCAACACCCGATATGATCCCCCAAGCATGGCCAAGAGTAAACCCTGAATGCAGAGCCAAGGAGCTCTGAGCACAACTGGGTGTCGCACAAATACAAAATATAAAATAGCTTTAAAATGAGTGTGTCAATGTTTAGCTCTTTAGAGTCTTCAGTAAATGATGTCAGGAAATGGTAATAAATTCTGGTGTATCTTGCCTGTTTTTAGATCAGTACATTATTTTTGGAACTGAAGATGGTATTTACACTTTGAATCTCAATGAACTACATGAGGCAACCATGGAACAGGTAATTTTATTTTTTTATTCAAGAAATTAATTCGGGTAAATTGAGGAAAGGAAATATATTAATTTTAAATTTGGTTGTTTTAACATTTTTATTGAAATATTTTGGGATTTTTTTTTCTTTTTTGGGTCACGCCTGGTGATGTTCAAGGGTTACTCCTGGCTCTGCACTCAGGAATTAGTCCAGGGGGTACTCAAGGACCATATGGGATACCAGGGATCAAACTCGGGTTGGCAGCATGCAAGGCAAATGCCCTACCCGCTATACTGTCTCTCTGGCCCCTATTTAAATATTTAAAGGGATGAAATAGTATTTTTTACATGTTCATGTTAAAAGAAATATTTTCTTCTTAAAAGCTTTGGTTATTTGCCAAGTGATAGAAAGGGGTTTTTCAATACTGTTTCAGACTGTGGAATTTGAAAAAGTTTAAAAGGAGTGAAAATTATAACCATTTTATTCAAAGTAAGAGAATAAAACTTGTAGGTTTTTAATTAATTATTTTTTTATTGAATCACCGTGAGATACAGTTACAAAGCTTTCCTGTTTGAGTTTCAGTCATATAATGATTGAACACCCATCCCTATACCAGTGTACATTTTCCACCACCAATGCCCCCAGTGTACCCCCCATCCCTCTCCTCCCCCTGCCTCTATGGCAGATAATTTCCCTCTTACTCTCTCTCTACTTTGGGACATTATGGTTTGCAATACAGATACTGAAGGCATCATGTTTGGTCCTCTATTCAGCACACATCTCCTGTCCTGAACGATACCTCCAACTATCGTTGACTTAGTGATCCCTCTGTATCCCAGCTGCCTTCTCTCGCAGCTCATGAGTCAGGCTTCCAGCCGTGGAGCAATCTTCCTGGCCTTTGTCTCTACTGTCCTTAGGTGTTAGTCTCATATTATGTTATTTTGAATGAAAATTGGAGGTTTTTAAATATCTTCTTTTTTCTCTAGTTGTTTCCACGGAAATGTACTTGGCTTTATGTTATCAATAACACTTTGATGTCATTGTCAGGTATGTATATGTGGAAAATACTATAAAAAAAGTTATAGACAAGCACAAAACTATAATGTTTAATGTGCGCTGCTTTAAAATGTTACTCTGGGTATCTATAATATGACATTCTTGAGACTAGTAGACTTTTTTTCTACTAACAAAATGGAAAGAATGTTCAGGAGGAAGCCTGCCTTCAGTTAAGATACTGATTCCAAACCTAGCATCTTTGGGGACTCTTGGGGCCGGGGAAAATGAACAGCCTCCCAGGTACTGCTCAGAAATCCTGGGTCAGTCCCTGTACTCGCTAGCCACTAAACTCTTGAGAACTTGCTATGCTTGTCAGCCCAAAGCCCTCCTTTCCATTTAGTCCTCCTCACCACCCTTCTTACAATTGCTGCCTCCATTGAAAATTAACAGTAACAGGGGAAGATTTGAAGGAGCTATACTAGCTTCTTCCTTTCTCTGTGTTCTTGAGCAAGTCACTTAACCCTCTCTGTTTCCATGTCCGTAAAATGAGGATGATTATTTGAATAAGAAGCCTAACAAGGTTGTTGTGAGAACTAAATGAGAGGATATCCTGAATACACTGTGAAGACGAAATACATGTGTTTGCTGGTAGATTTCTGGCCCACATGTTAGCCATCTTGGCCAAATGCTTTGAAGTCTATAAACACACTAATTTTAGTTTTGTGTGTTTTTCTTTTTTGGTTGTTGTTAAGGAGTAGATGGGTAATGGTATAGGTTTATTATTACCTACCAAACCCTTTTTTAAAATAGAGTTTAGATTTAGTCTGATACCTCGAGGTCTCTGTCTTTCTGACCCTAGTAACCTTCATTTTCTCAGAACATAGTCTTCCAAGGTTTTTTTTATTCTGATTGTAGAATACGAGATAATCATTTCAAGTCTTTTAATTATTTCTGATGTATCAGTTATCAAAAATAACATCCCCTTTTCCACTTTGGATAGTTAAATTGTTACAGGATTATTTTTCAGTTATTTTTTTGATGCATTTTTATGTTCTGTATTCTATTAGATATGTGAGGATTATATCCTAGCTAAAATTATATCCTAGCTTAGGGGTGGGGCAGATATTAGATTGTATTTTGGGGGAGAGGGGGCACACCCAGTGGCACTCAGGGAGTACTGGTGGCAGGGCTTGGGAGATTATTTGGGGTACTAAGAATTGAGCCCAGGTCAGCTGCTTGCAAGGCAAACACCTTAGTCACTGTCTCTCCATCCCAAACCTGGATTTTATTTACTGTATTCTCAAGCTTTCCAGTATAAAGTATGCATTTAAGCTACTTATGCTTTAAAGTCTCAATGCTGATCAACTATCTGTCTCAGTTGATTATTGTGATTTGTGGTCTAGCTTAAGAAATATCACTTTAATAATTTACAGTGTGTGTATAAAGTAGGTAACCAGCTAACACTGGTCTGAGATTCTTCATGAATTTATATATTGAGCTGGCGAATGTGTTTACAAAGAGCAGATTGTGTGATTTCAAGTGATGGTCATTCTTTTTTTTTTTTTGTGCGTTGTTTTAAGTATATCATTGTAAAAGGATGTTTAATGGTTTCCAAGCTAACTTCATTGTGGTTTATATATTGCTCACATCATTTAATAGAATATGCCTGATTTGTGTTTTAGGAAACATAGTTCTCTATTTTAAATGATTCTATCCACTATCTCTCAAAATATTATTAACTGGGTGTTTTTTTGTATGTTTTTCTGGTTTGCTTGGCTCTTTGAACATACCTGGATTCCTCATTTTAGAAGGTAATTATGTTTTCTTTTGCTTGAAAATTGTATTCCCTATAATTAAGAATTCTAGTAAAAGTAACATTTTTCTTGTTTACAGGGAAAACTTTTCAGCTCTACTCTCATAATCTTATAGCTTTGTTTGAACAAGCCAAAAAACCAGGATTAGCTGCCCACATTCAAACTCATAGGTTCCCAGACCGCATACTACCAAGGTACAAAGTATTTTTATTCTTCTGTGAGTGAAAGGAATTAGTGTCTAAATATTTTTAAAGCAATAATTATTCCTAGGCCACTAAAATAGTTTATCTTAATATAAAGGGCATTTTCTGCTAAAGTATAATCTTGTTAAGAGTGCAAGAGATCACAGTTTCCTTAACTTGTTTGATCATGAGAATTGCCAGTACTAATTTGGTAATACACATTCCCAGGCCTGCTTCAGTCCTGCAAAATCAGCTCATTTGGGGGCAGGATCCAAAACAATTTTTATAAAATCCTTAACTGATTCTGGTACAGATAATTCATAGATGACTGTATGGGAATCACTGCAGTTGGGGACATTTATTATTGTCCTATCTTTTCAGAAAGTTTGCTTTGACAACAAAGATTCCTGATACAAAGGGCTGCCACAAATGTTGCATAGGTGAGTAACTGTTATTTATCAGATTAAATAGTTAGAACTTTCAGCATTTTTTTTCTTTTTGGGTCACACTTGGCAATGCACAGGGGTTATTCCTGGCTCTGTACTCAGGAATTACTCCTGGCGGTGCTCAGGGGACCATATGGGATGCTGGGAATCAAACTCAGGTCGGCTGCGTGCAAGGTAAATGCCCTACCCGCTGTGCTATTGCTCCAGCCCCAACTTTCAGCATTTTTAAAATTACCTGAAGGAGGCCAAGGAGATAGCTTAAAGGGTTGTGAATTCATTGTCCAATTCTACAAGACCTCCCCCCAAGTAAATGATCTCAAAAGCTTTGTTTGACTGGGTAGAAAGAATCCAAGTGGGTGTTTTGGTTTGTTTGTTTGTTTTTTAAATACAAAGAGTTAAGACACCAACGAAGTAGAGCATATAGAGGGTCTTGACAGAGAAATGTTTGGAAAGAGCAGCCTTAATTTTCTTTTTCTTTTTTGTAATATCTTTGCTCAAGGGTCACACCTGGCCGTACTCAGGGCACCATGTGGTGTCAGGGATCAGATCCAAGGCCTCCTGCGTGCAACGCATGATTTCCATCTTTCTGGCTCTAGTAACCTTCATTTTCTTAGAGTAAAAATGTTCCAAGATTTTTTTAAAAATAGTCCTTGAGGCTATAGCTCTACAAATACTCTAGCTTTCATTTACTTAACATTTTCATTTATGGACTAGTTATCTACTACTGCTTTATGCTTTATGAATATTATTATTGTAGGACTTTAGCCAGCTATGACGTTAGTGGGAACAGTTTAAATGAGTGGATCAGTCAGTTCCGATACCAATCGCAAGTATGAGGGATCCCCAAATTCCTCAGGTTTAAAGTTTTGCTAAAAGGATTCATTAAACCACTTAAAAGCAATTATAGTCTAGGGGATGAGGAGTTAGCTCATAGGGCTGGTGCACATGCTTTGCATGTAGGTACCTTGAGTTTGGTCTCTGGCACCCTATTATCCTCCCAATGGTGCCGGGTATGGCCCCAAAAAAGGGAGGAAAGGGCAGTTCTACTCATGGTATGATTTATTACAGAGGAAGAATATATTAAAATCAGTCAAGTGAAGAAGGGCATAGGGCACAGTCCAGGAAAAATAGCAAGTATTGAGCTTCCATCATCTCGTCCATGGCATGATAGGCAGGATGACTTTTCAGGTAGTGACATGTCAGGATACACAGAGCACTGCTAATCAGGGAAGCTCACTCCAATTTCATGTTCTGGAATTCATCACGTCTTGATTGCTTGGTTTGTAGTACATGGTCCTTCTTTTGGGTAGCTAGTGCAAGCCTACCTAAAGTCACACTGTTGATCTGTCTAACATGACTACCCCCACCCAAAAACTATCCAGCGTTGCCAGCACACTCTAAATCATAATGTTAGACTACCTGGTAACAAAGGCACTCCTATCATCCTGGGCTCAAGAGATTTTCTCCCAGAGGAGAGGACAAAGATCAGGCCTCTTTGGGGGCAAGGCTGAATTCAGGACTACACAATTATGCTGTCTCACTTCACCCTCAAACAGCTGAACAAGATAGATACTTGTTACTGACTCATAACAGAACATAGGCTCAACCCTGGTCAGTAGTTTCAGATCCTAGATCTCGGTTAATTCTTTTTTAATCAGTGAGTCTAACATTGGTCTTCGTGCTACATGCTTCCACAGTATACTCTTATTAAAAGCAAATGTTTGAACTTTTTTCTAGAAAGATTGAGATCCATGTCTGTTATCAGATTCCCAGCCAAGATCTGTGACTCAAAAAGGTCTAGAAGCTTAAGATAAAAATTGCAATCTAGATAACAAGCTCATAAACTAGAGCCTACTACATTTATGATTATTCTTATAATCAGTATATTGTAAGATTAATAGGAGTCCAATTGAGGAGAAAGGCCGCTATGAGTTTTTGTATCAAGGAAGGTACATCTTCAGTAAGTTATGAAGTAATTATTTTCCTCTTTTCTTGAACAGATAACTATTATAACATTACCAAAATTAAGCAGTTGGTTTATTTTGCTTTTTATGCTTTCTTGTCAGAAAGTATAAATAGAAGTTCTTAAGATTGCATACTAATGTAGATGCTTTGGTATTAAAATGTTGATTTTTTACTGTTTGAAACCGAATCATGAACATCTTTTAAGGGTTTGTCTTACAATGATTCAACAATAAAATGTTTAAAAATTTAAAAATAAAATATTTGCCTTTGCTTTGCTTTATTTTGCTTTGCTTTTCTTTGCTTTTGCTTTGATTTTAGGGCCATACCTGGCAGTGCTCAGGATTTACTCATAGCTCTGCATTCAGAGATCATTCCTGGTGGGCTAAGGGGCTCATTGTGCTGGAGATTGAATCTAGGTTGGTTGTGTGCAAGGCATATACCCTACCCACTGTACTATTTATCTGTTCCTAATTGCTCTTCTAACAGTTTCTTGTGCTTAAGAATCTTGATATGCAGAAGTGAATGTGTATAGTTTAAAACTGAGATAATAAGGGCCAGAATGACAGTATAGCAGGGAGGGTGTTTGCCTTGTACGTGACAGACCTGATTCAATCCCCAGCATCCCATATGATTTCCCAAGCTTATCAGGAGTAATTCTTGAATGCAGAGTCAGGAGTAACCCCTGAGTACTGCTGGGTGTGTATCCCCCCAAAAGAAATTATGACAATAAGACTAATAGAAAAAATAGAAGAACCAAAAGAAAAAGATATATTCTTTTTTTTAACTTTCTATTCAGTCCTATCATCCTAGTGAACAGAAACAATTAGTTTTCCTTTGTCAGCTAAATAATCATCTCATCTCAAGTAGTTTATTTTATCCAGATTTTTGTATCAATAGTAGACTGCAGTTCATTGTTTCTATCAACATTGCCCTTATAAAGGTTCTAAATGTTTAAGATGAATCTAACTTAGTTGTTGCTGTCTGGTTTTGGTTTCGGATGAGCCTGGTGGTGCTCAGGGTTTACTCCTGGTTCAGTGCACAAGCATCACTCCTGGTGGGGCTTAGGGGGATCATGTGGGATGCCGGGGATTGAATCAGAATTGAACTAGGCTTGGCCGCATGCAAGGCAAGTGTCTTACCTGCTACACTCTCTCTCCAGTCCTCAGTTGTTCCTTTTAGCTGATGTTTGACTACTAAAAGTATTCATTGTTTTGGGTTTGTCTGTTTTATTTCTTTCCAGTCAGAAACCCTTACACAGGTCATAAATACCTCTGTGGAGCTTTACAGTCTGGAATTGTTTTACTTCAGTGGTATGAGCCAATGCAGAAATTCATGTTGATAAAGGTACATGTATACATATACTGCTTTGATTTTACACTTTTTCTTTTTAGAAAACATTAGTTGGTAAAGTTAATTAAGTTAAAAATTAAGTGGAAGTATATTACCCCGTTACTAGAGTCGGTATTTTGTGACTCTTTATAGGTATTTATTTTGTTCGGGTCTTTTTGTTAAGAGTTCCTCTTTAGAACCCTCGTCCGCTGTTGGTGGGAATGCTGTCTGGCTCAGCCCCTATGGAAAGCAATATGGAGATCTCTCAAAAAATTAGGAATAGAATTCTCATATTACTCAATGAAATCACTTCTTGGCATGCATTCCCCCCCCAAAAAACCCTTTTATTCAAAAGGATATGTGCACACTTATGTTCATCATGGCACTTATAGCCAAAATACAAAAAACAACCCAGATTCCTAACTATAGATAAATGGATCAGGAAGTCAGGGTGTGTATACAGAATGGAATACTATGCAGCTTTAAGAAAGAACAAAATCATGCAGTTTGCCACAACATAGATAGAAGTAGAGGATATGCTGAGTGAAGTCAGAAGGAAGAGGAAAGGTACAGAATGCTCTCTCGTGTGGGACTTAAAAATGCACAACAAGGTAGCAACAAAGAGCCAAAGACAGCACAACAGGAGAGCTGATCCACAAAAATGAGTTGGCGAGGTGGATGGGGTTGAAAGGAAGGTGATCATTGAGGACTTTGGGAGGGGAAGGAGGGGGGATTCACTGGTGATGGATGTCATGTTGAAATTATGTACATGAGAAACCATCATAAACAGCATTGTAAATCACAGTACCTGAAAAGAAATATCTCTTATATAAACTTTCGGATGCAAGATTAAATAAATGGTTCCCTAAAAAATACTTTTATACAGTACTCAACAGTATCATGACCTTCTCGGAGGTCATCAGTTTTTAGAATTAAGTCAGTCAAGAAAATGAAAGCTTTTCCAATGATATTTATCCACCAGCAGTGTGGAGTAATTGTTCCTAAATTACGATTATGTTTGTTTATGTTTTACAGCACTTTGATTTTCCATTGCCAAGTCCTCTGAATGTTTTTGAAATGCTGGTAATACCAGAACAGGAATACCCTATGGTCTGTGTAGCTATTAGCAAGGGCTCTGAATCAAATCAGGTAGTTCAGTTTGAGACAATCAATTTGAACTCTGCATCTTCATGGTTTACAGAAATTGGTGCAGGTAAGTGTTTTTTATCTTATGTTTAAATATTGATGCTTTTGCATGTAAAAGAAAGCAATAGGCTCCGTGTGCAGGAGCTCTTTTAGATTAAGATGCAGAACATAGTTTCTCAAGCATTCTCGAGAATCTTGTACAGAGAGTTTAGGATCTCTGTTTTCCTGAAGCAAGTTGATCCAAGTTGTTTTACCCAAAAAAAAAAAACAAAGGAAATCGGGGGCTGGAGCAATAGTACAGCAGATAGGACGTTTGCCTTGCTCACAGCTGACCCAGGTTCGATTCCCAGCATCCCATATGGTCCCCCGAGCACCACGAGGAGTAATTCCGGAGTGCAAAGCCAGGAGTAACACCTGTGAATCGCCGGGTATGACCCAAAAAGCAAAAAAAAAAAAAGAAAGTAAGAGGGAATCGTTATAAAGCTCCCTGACATTTAAAGATTTTATTATTAACAGTCTTTGGGCTTGCTAAATAAGATTTTCAGTGTAACTTTTCAATTTTATTAAGTAAGTAAGTAAAGTAAGTAAAGGCCCTCCCGTTGATCATTGATTTGCTCGAGCGGGCCCAGTAACGTCTCCATTGGAGACTTTGTTGTTACTGTGTCTGGCATATCCAATACTCTCGGTAGCTTGCCGGGCTCTCCGAGAGGGGCGGAGGAATCGAACTCGGGTCGGCCATGTTGGCTGCGTGCAAGGCAAACGCCCTACCCGCTAGTTTCTTTAAATAAAGAAATTTTTACTGTTTTGGGGTTTTTTTTTTTTGGTTTGTTTTTGTTTTTGGTTTTTTTTTTGTTTTTTTTTTTTTTGGTTTTGGGATCACACCAAACACTCAGGGATCGATCTTGGAGAGACTCAGGGTGCCAGGAATAGAACCTAAATTGTTCATATGCATGGAAAGCATCCTATCTGCTGAATTATCATTCCAACCTCAAAATTTTATCTTTTATTTCAATCAGTTTTTGCCATCACACTTCTTAGAATCATTGAATTTTAAGTGCTTTTCAGACCTGAATAGAAATTTTACTTTTAAAGGGAAATATATCTAGTTTCTGAGAATTATTTCTTAGCCTAGGTTTTTATTAAGTATACCTCAGTGAAAACTCAAGATGGTTGGAAGGTTTATTCTCAAACTTTAAAACTGAAAAAAGAAATCAGTCAGGAACTCATTTGAAAATTGACTTCAGTGGAATGAAGAGGTCTTTATTTTGTCAGTTTACTGACAGTTGTGCTTGTATGTGATCATTTGTAACCCCAGGTTTATCAAGTCCTTTTATACATAAAGTAAAAAGAAAAGCAAGCTTCAGTATAGCTATTTATATTATTGACTACCCTTGTATTCTTAACCACCTGTGAAGATTATGTTACATAAATCATAAGTATGATGGTTTATAATATCTTTGAATTTTGTTCATTAATACCAGACTTCCAAACTTGCTTAACTGCACACTTTTCAGAGAAAGAATGACTCAAAGAATTACTTGTTAACCTGAAATGAGGATAGCACAGCAGGTAGGGCGTTTGCCTTGCACACAGCCAATATGGCCCACCTGAGTTCTATTCCTCCGCCCCTCTTGGAGAGCCCGGCAAACTACCGAGAGTATCTCGCCTGCACGGCACAAAGCCTGGCAAGCTACCCATGATGTATTCAATATGCCAAAGACAGTAATAATAACAAGTCTGAAAATGGAGACCTTAACGGTAGGGCGTTTGCCTTGCACGCAGCCAACATGGCCAACCCGAGTTCGATTCCTCCGCTCCTCTCGGAGAGCCCGGCAAGCTACCGAGAGTATTCAATATGCCAAACACAGTAACAACAAAGTCTCCAATGGAGACGTTACGGGGCCTGCTCGAGCAAATTGACGATCAACAGGAGGGACTTTACCTTTACCTTTACCTTTACCTTGCTCCAGTGGGCCCAGTAACATCTCCATTGTGAGACTTGTTGTTACTGTGTTTGGCATATCAAATATGTCACAGGTAGCTTGTCAGGCTTTGCCGTGTGGGCAAAATACTCTCAGTAGCTTGCTGGGCTCTCCGAGAGGGGCGGAGAAATCGAACCTGGGTCAGCCGGGCCAGCTGTGTGCAAGGCAAACACCCTGCCGCTGTGCTATCACTCCAGCCGCTCTGTTGTTACATAGTTATTGCTAAAAAGAATGTATGTAAATCACTTTATTTTCCAGTGAAGATCAGTTTGAGCAGATAGAACCAACTTTTTATTACTGGTTACTTCCCAGTATCTAGTATACAGTAAGTCATTCCATGCAGTTTTCTAATGTGTGTTTGCAACTATCTTTGATATGAAATATTAGGAGGTAATAGTACGTGGACCAAAATCAAGCTAAAACCAAAATTACTTCCTGAGGAAAAATCATTTAGATCACCCTCAAGAGTTGTGTTTATTATTAGGAGTTCTCTTTTTCTTTTGTTTTTAGACCATACCCGGCAATGCTTAAGACTTACTCCTCCTGGCTCTGTACTCAGGGATCAATACTGATTTCTGTGCAAGGAAAGCCCCACCTGCAATACCATCTCTCTGGCCCTTAACCTTTCGTTTTTACTTATGAATGTTGGTTCAGTGCCCATCCACTGTTAATTGTTTTTGTTTGGGGTAAAGATGGGTTGGGTATTATCCAGCAATGCTCTGGGGTTATTCCTGGCACTGTCAGAAGTGGCCCCTGGTAGTGCTTGACAGACATATATGGTGCCAGGGATTAAACAGGGTTCAGCTTTATGCAAGGCAAGTACTCCTGTACTATTTCTTCTATCCAACATATTCATTGTTGACCATGAGGCTATGCCTTGAAATGGCAACACTTACTGCAAATTAAAATAAACTCCTATATCAAGGTTCATTTATTCTTAGTCTGACTTTTTATTAGAGTACCTTTATCTCTAAGAGTAGTACTTAGCACATCAATACTTAGTAAATATATGTTACATAAATACATAACCAGTTTTAGAGACAAAATTTTTTTTTCTAGTGTTGTCTGAAAAACCAGCAGTTTATCAGTTCTGTGTATTTGGAGTCTTCGTTATGCATGGGCTTTGGGAGATCTACCAGCACACCAAAATAAAAACTAGTTTACCCTTGAACAGTGTAGGGTTTTAGGTTCCCCAGACACACCATAATCTCCCCTCTGTATTTACCTTGTGCTTAATTTTATCTTGTAATCCACCTTTCTAAAGCCAGCTGAGATGTTAATTGGTTATAATATTGAATTTTTTTCTTAGATCTATTGATCATGCAGGTGACTTATATTTGTGCTTTAATGTTGATCTATGTAACATTTTTAATAACATAATTTTCAAAATATAACTTCTGTGCTGAATTTCGAAAGCTAGTTTTAAACAAGCAGAAGCCAGAATTTATGTTTCTTTTAGAAAGATTGCATTCATCTAGGGAACATAAAGTAACATAATGGGAGACTAACACCCAGGAGTGATCGAGATTAGCACCAGGAATTTTGCTCCGTGACTTGGAGGCCAGCCACAGATGCTAGGGGAAAAGGGAGCTCAGATAAGAGAAGGGAGCACCAAATAAAGGGTGTTGGGAGGATCCTCCCAGAATGGGAGAAGCATGCTGAAAGTAGACTATAGACCAAACATGATTGCCACTCAATGCCTCTCTTGCAAACCACAGAACCCAAAAGGAGACAGAGAGAACAAAAGGGAATGCCCTGTGACAGAGGCAGGGTGGGATGTGGGGGATGGGGGGTGGGAGAGATGCTGGGACCCGTGGTGGTGGAGGATGGGTACTTGATCATTGTATAACTGAAACCCAAGCACAAAAATTTGTAAGTCTATAATTGTACCTCGTGGTGTTTCACTAATAAAAAAGAAAGAAAATAATAAAAATTAACAAATAAAGCATGTTTTAAAGTATGTTCACCTTTTTTCTTCCCGAAGGCAGCCAACAATTAGATTCCATTCATGTAACGCAATTGGAGAGAGATACTGTTCTAGTGTGCTTAGATAGTAAGTACCATTTTAAACTTTATCCTGTGTAATACTATCTGATACAAACAGATTTTCTCGTGGAACTTACTTAATAATTCAAGATTTTACACTTTTCCACCTTGACTGTTCTATTTAAAGACAATCCTAAATTTTCTATAAATATTTTTTAGTTAATTGAGCCTATTCACCAGTAATTTATTCTGCGAAAAATTTATGTTTTACTTTATGTGGTCTTCTTGGAAACATTATATTGTTACAATTTGCCTTGTAGTAAATTTTTGTATAAAACTATTCTATACAAAATTTTGATTAAACTATCCTGAGAATTTTTTAAAACTTCATTGTAATTAAAATGATACAATAGAAGATTGTACTACATCGATCACTTATAGCCATAGAACATGAACTTTCAGAAAGATGGCAGAGGCTCTCAATTACTTGTAGACTTAATTTCTTCATCTGCTAGCTGGGATTCTTTTCATGCAGAGAGAGATGTTGTGATGTTATAGTAAAAGTACGTCCTGCTGTAAGCACTAGAAAGGTAGGAATGGGACCAGAGAGATAGCACTGAAAAAGTGCTTGCCTTGCACATTGTGGACCCTAGTTCAACTTTGTGGGTCTTAAGAACTGTGTAATGCCAGGATTGAACCCAGGGTCTATCATACACAGTGCATTAATAACTAGGTCTGCCCATAGGTGCCCATTGAAAATTTTTTCTGTTATAGGGCATTTGCAATATCACTTACTGATGTAATCAAAATGAGTCAACATTCAGATTATCCCCTAAATAAGCTATTCTTATTGCTGGACTACTTTTAAAAACAAATGAAATGAAAAATCATTTTACTAATTTTTCCTGTTCTGTTCTATTAAATACAATGTTATTTAAGTGTTATATAAGTTATTTAACTTAGTGGATCATAAAACTAATGTAGTAGAGATGACTAAACTAAAATCCAGTGTTTTTAATTGTCCATTATTCCTATTTACGACTACTTTTCATTTTTTGAATACCGATACACATTTATTTTCCGATTTTCATTTCCAGTTCTATTTTTTCTTTTTTTTAAGAGTTTGTAAAAATTGTAAATCTACAAGGAAAACTAAAATCAAGTAAGAAACTGGCCTCTGAGCTTAGTTTTGATTTTCGCATTGAATCTGTAGGTAAGTTTTCCCTTTTTTTATTTAATGTATTTGGAAACCTACTTTGTTTAGGATTTAGGATTATCCAGACTAGAACTGTCTCATAGACATTTTTATAATTAAATAAATATTCTGTCTATTCTCTTAATTACATAGCCGTTTGCCATGCCTGATACATACTTAAAACATAACTAGTGTTAAATTTTAATTTTAAATTTTAGTTCACTGATATGCAACTCTTTATTGCCATAATGAACAGTTACAGGTGTTACTTATAAATCTTTAATTGTTGTTTCCTGAATAAGTAAAACCTTAAATCATTTTTAAAATTTCTGTTCATTGTTTTCTTTGCTGCATCAAGTGATTTAGACTTCTCCCAATTCTTTGCAAACTATAAGATATTTGTGTGATATGATTAACAGTGTTGGATATACTCAGTTTTTGCCATGTAAAATTCTGTTTTGTCTACATTGGTGTTTATGACTTCTAAGTCGTTTATATATAAATAACTGGTTTCCCACAAGCTTTGGAAACAGTATATTTTATTTGCTTTCTTGTCAATGTATGTTTTATGTTGTAATTTTCATTGGTTTTGTAATTTTAGAAGCATTTTATTGTTTACATCTGCATTGATTATATGACAGTGTTTTCCCAGAGGTTATAGACTTTTAATATAGTGTGACTAGAAACACTTCAAACAATTTTATGATATGAGTCTGCCATAAATCAAAACTAGCCGAAACAAAGTTGACAGTGTTTATCTAGGTCATAAAAGCATGTATTTATAAATGCACACTTTTTACAAATTGTTATTATTTAGATAGACTTTTGTTTATGTTTTACATTTTCATAATTTTCTATTGGAGTTTTGCCCTGTCACAACGTTTATTTCTCTGAGTAACCTTTTACATGAAAAAAACTTGCCTATGATTAGAAAATGTAATTTAATGAAATAGAAAGGCTGAATTTTCTGTACACAGCACTACAAAAGGAATTTGGAACCCCTTTCTTTTTTATGTGCTGACTATCACATGCCAATTTCTAAGATACGATTTAAATAGAGATTCAGACACAAATCTTTAGTACTCTTTAAATGAAACTCACTGTTACCTGCACACGTCTTCATGTGTGACAGTGCTTTAGGGAATTTTACTTGTTACACAGAAGTTTGTTCTTTCTGGGCTATCATCTCTTTTTGCCATTGAATATTGGACTATAATACAAGGAACCTCCTGGGTAAAGAGAGCCTTTAAAACATCTCCTGAAGTTAAAGCCAGTAACTGGGCTTTTTATTTGTGAAAATTGTATGACTTGTTAGTATAAATTTATTTCTGTTTAGCTAAATTGTGTTTCCAGAGCATTCTTCCATTAACTTTTTTATAGAATTAATATTCTAGTAATAAATGTGAGTGATTATGGCTGATATATGCCTCACATATATTGGGCTGGGTTCAATCCCAACATCACACAAAAAATAATAACAACATTTCAACCATTTTCTCATACCTCTTTTACTGCTGTAGAGATGTGGCTAATTCTGCCATGATCAGATATGTTCTTACCTTCGTTCTGTCTTCTCCCACCCTCACTCTGCTCTTTGAACTACTCTACTCCCTTACCAGGAAGAGCCCGGGATTCCTGTTGCCCTTGACACTACGAGGGTGGTGGGAGGGGACAGTCCACTCTTTTAAACTGCCACGTGACCTTATTTGGTACCCCAGTGGGTATTACTCATGCTTGGCACCAGAGAGAGATTAAAGAGGTTTCCCTCCCTTTCAAGACTGCTTCACTGCAGGGACTCTGGGAGATGGCGGAGGACAGGAGGCCTACAGCATCCAGCCCTTTATTTTTATTTTTTATTTTTATTTATTTTATTATTAGTGAATCACTGTGAAGTACAGTTACATATTTAACAAACTTTCATGTTTGCGTTTCAGTCATACAATGATCCCACCCCATTTTCCACCACCAATGCCCATTTTCCAATGCCCACCAGTGCCTATTTTACAGCACTAATGATCCCAGTATCCCTCCACCACCACCCCTCCATCCCTCCCCTCCCCACCCCACCTTTGTGGCAGAACATTCCCTTTTGCTCTCTCTTTCCGTTTGGGTGTTATAGTTTGCAATAGAGGCATTGGGTGGCCATTGTGTTTGATCTATAGTCTACATTTGGCATGCATCTCGCAACCAGAGCGGGTCCTCCAAACATTCTCTACTTGGTGTTCCTTGCTCTATCTGAGCTGCCTTTCCCCCCAGCATTTGTGGCCAGCTTCCAAGCTGTGGAGTAAACCTTCTGGTCCTTACCTCTACTATTCTTGGGTGTTGGTCTCCCATTCTGATACTTTATATTCCACAGGTGATTGAGTTCAATCTTTCTATGTCTGCCCCACTCTTTCTCACTCATTACACTTAGCATGATACTTTCCATGTTGATCCACTTATATGCAAATTTCATGACTTCATCTTTTCTAACAGCTGCATAGTGTTCCTTCCATTGTATAAATGTACCAGTTTCTTTAACCAGTCATCTATTCTTGGGCACTCAGTTTTTTCCAGATTTTGACTATTGTAAACAGTGCAGCAATGAACATACAAGTGCAGATGTCATTTCTGCTGTACTTTTTTGCCTCTCCAGGATAAATTCCCAGAAGTGGTGTTGCTGGGTCAAATGGAGGATCATTATCCTTCGCTGCCCCTTCTGATCTTTTTAAACCTGGAATCAGTGTTGTCAGATAGGACCAAGTAGGGCCACCCCAACTTTTTTGAAGGAGTTATTTGCTTGCAGGATTGTTTTCCATCTATTGACTTTGAGTCTGTGTTTGCTTTGACTGTTCAGATGTGTTTCTTGTAGGCAGCAGAATGTTGGGTTCAGTTTCTGAATCCATTTTGCCACTCTGTGTCCCTTTTTGGTGCATTTAAACCATTGAAATTTTTTAAGAAGTTTTTTTTTTTAATTTTTATTAGTGAGACACCATGAGGTACAGTTGTAGACTTAGAAATTTTTGTGCTTGAGTTTCAATTATACAGTGATCAAGTACCCATCCCTCCACCAGTGCCCATTTCCCACCACCACGGATCCCAGTATCCCTCCCACCCCCCATTCCCCCATCCCACCCTGTCTCTGTGGCAGGGCATTCTCTTTTGTTCTCTCTCTCCTTTAGGGTGTTGTGGTTTGCAAAAGAGGCATTGAGTGGCAATCACGTTTGGTCTATAGTCTACTTTCAGCATGCTTCTCCCATCTGGGAGGATCCTCCCAACATCCTTTATTTGGTGCTTCCTTCTCTATCTGAGCTCCCTTTTCCCCTAGCATGTGTGGTTGGCCTCCAAGCCATGGAGCAAACCTCCTTAAACCATTGACATTTAGAGTCCTGAACCCAAAGTCCTCAGGAAGGCAGGCAGAGTTGGTGCAGATAAGACCTCTTGTCTAGGCTGTGAGGCCCACAAGGCCAAGACAAAACTTCAGGGCCAAAACAAAACTTCAGGACTCTGGAGACCTGTGGTGCCATAGCAGTGAGTTCTGGAACTTGGAAACCCCTTCTTGTAAGAATTGTCAAAAATGTGCTTACTGGTCAGGCTTATTTTTTCATAATTCTATAATATAAAAAAGGAAAGTATACTAAAAGATGCCTACTTAATGTCAACTTTTAAATATATAACAATTTTTAAATGTTTTTATCCAGAAAATTATATATGATTTTTAGTCCCTGACACAAAACATAGAGTATATATGTATGTGTGTATATACTGTATACATATATATCAGTATATAAATTTGTATGTATATATTATGCATACATACATACACACTCACATATAGATATATATATTTTTTTAACTTGACATGACTAAACATTTGAAATAAGGTATGGCTAAACCACAGCAATGTTAGGAACTAATGGTATGGCTTTCAGCTGCTGGTCTGAGGAGGGTGCCAGTCTGTAGGTGTAAAAAGGTTGGAGGTTGGAAAACACAGATCTAGGTGGTGGACTAGTGCACTACGTTCTTGAAAAACCTTATGTTGCCATTCATTAAAAAGCACTGAGGAAAATGTATAGTGAATCATTCTGTGCTTTATTTTAGTTTCTTTCTCTCTTTTTTTCAGTATGTCTTCAAGACAGTGTGTTGGCTTTCTGGAAACATGGAATGCAGGGTAAAAGCTTCAAATCAGATGAGGTACATTTTTTCAAATTGCTTTCATTTAGTCCCCTAAAATTTCAAATATTGAAATGTTCTTTTTTTGCATCATTTTCTTAGAATTCACAAAACTATGTTCAGTACCTTTAATGCTGTGATCTGGTAGAGCAAAGTTGCTAGTATTTTCCCTTCAAATAATGCTCAGTTTTGTGTTTATTTTATGTATCTGTACGTATCATTTTTGTTTGCTTTTGAGCCACATCCAGCAGTGGCAGAGGTGACTCCTAGCTCGGTGCTCAGGCGACCATGTGTGGACAGCTGAACCTCGTTCTTCCTTATGCAGAGCCTTCTGTCTGGCCCTACTCTATTCACTGGCCACATGGATAAATAAAACATTAATTCATATAAGCTTACTTCTTTGGTTTTTAAATGTGTAAATATGGTTCCTAAAGCATGTTTTAAGTTTTCTAAACTTAATAAGCTTTTTCTGTAATTTAAAAATAAGTAACATTTTAATATATAAAATTCTAAATTTGTGTTGGATTATAGAACCTAGGAAAATCTCTAAGTAATGAACTCATTGAATATTTGTTCATTACTTACAAGACAGTCGTGGGACCAGAGCAATAGTACATTGGGTAGGGCGCATGGCTTGCACAGGACCAATCCAAGTTCAATCCCTGGCATCCTGTATGGTCCCCTGATCCCAGCCAGGAATGATTCCTGATGTAGATCTAGGAGTAAGTCCTGAGCACCACTGGGTATGAACCAAAAACAAAATCAAACAAAAAATTGTCACTATTATTGTAACAGCTTAAGGCATAATGCTATATAATTATAAATAACTTCTCAAGATCATGCCACATCTGTGTTTCGGGTATCTGATAAATAATTGCTTATTTAAGAATCAAAATAACAGAATAATTACTTATCATTTATATTCCCATTTTTATAGACACAGAGTGGTTAAGTAACTTACCCAGCATTATGTAATTCATTAAGTGACAGAGCCTAGATTGGAAGGGTCTCAAACACTTCTGAGATAATCAATAGAAATTTCATGTGGGAGATTGCACTCCCACTTGAAAGAATAAACACTAATAATTGGGATAATACAATCAGAGACATTGCCCACTTGTATATCTATCCAATGAATTCTTATACACCTGGCCTCAGAAATTTGTGTAGTCATAAAACTTGACATTTTTGTTTGACTTATCCAACTTATTTTAGTTTTATCCAGTTTTACTAATATATAAACAAATGTTTTTACCTCTTATGAATGAATTATTAGAATACTTCTAAGAGAAAACTGTATAAATTAGTTACCTTTGAACATGTCCATTTATCTAGATTCCAGAAAACATGGGCTGGAGAGAGGAATATAAAATAAGGAGGGATGAGGGCTGGAGTGCTTGCTTGGCATGCAGAGTCCCAAAATTCCATCCCCAGTACTGCCTGGCCCTTGCCATACCATGGTATCACCTGCTGGCTCAGGTGCCTTAGAACCACTGGACCCAAGCAGCACCACATCTCCAGGCCCAGGCACTGAGCACTGCAGCCTGCAGAATATTGCCATGACCCACCTCTGACTCTCCTCCACAGTTTGGGAAGACTCCCCCCCCCACCACCACCAAAAAAATCTAATAAAGAACACATTGGTATATGTTCTCGCCTCAGGTAAGAACACATTCCAGAACTGGCTGCTTTGAAAGTGGAAAGCTGGTGCATTTATATTTCCACCGCTGTCCCTGTTGGTTAAGGTTACCTCCAGCCCACACTGGGGAATCATGCTTATAGTCAAGTGGCTGTGACCTTTCCTTAGCTTTGAAGAAAAGTGCAGAGGAACACCACAGCCTGCACTGGGAGAGGGCATTGGCACTTGGAGTGCCCACCACCGTTCTGCTGAAGTCAGGGGGACCTTGACGCACCACCTCAAATGTTTACACACTATCATGTAAAAGAAAGGAGATGCTGCTGTCCCAAACCTGTATTCCAGTTTGATCCTAACACTTCCATAAGTGCATTATTTAGCTTCTCTGTTTAGTCTTAGTTTTGTCCTCAGTAATAGGGCAGTTATACTACAGATCCCAGATAGTTCTAAGAAAGGAGTCTCACTTTCCCTAAACATTTTTTACCAATAGGCTGTCACAAAACAGCTTAACTGAAATTTATTTCATTTAAGAAACCAAACTTATCAAAAATTCTATCTGTTAAATGACTGCTCTATCTAAATTATTTTATTAAAATCTTATGTGTGGACTGAAATGTTAATGGTAGGTATTTTCTTTATAGGTTACCCAGGAGATTTCAGACGAAACAAGAGTTTTCCGCTTATTAGGATCAGACAGGTACAAGTTTGGTTGTTTTAGTTTAATTATCAAAGGAGTTGAATGTTTTTATTCTTAATTATGCTGTCTGCCTCTTACTATGTTTCTGACAGAATTCTTAGAGGGCTTAGCCACATCAAGAAATTTCCCTGTATACTTATTAAGGGAGAGGATAATGTTGTAAATAGTCAATGAAGCAATCTTTTGTGAGTGCAAAGACCATGAATCTAGAGCATTATTCTTAGCCAGATAATATGTGTTACAATCAGTGTTTGTGTCTCTAGTACCATGACATATTTTGATCTTTGGTTTCATCTACCTGATACTTGCTTTTATATCAGGAAATATAAAACTGACCACAGTTTCTGAGGTCAATTCAAATTAGAACTAGTGTTTGGTTTCTTTGTGAACAAAATGAAGGATAATTCCCAAAAAGGGGGATGGGGGATGAGTACCTTTGATCTCCAAAGTCTTGTATTTATTATCTCTACGGCTAGTACAGTGTCCATGTATTTCTCCCTCCAAAGGTTGTTACTGCAAGAAAATTGACTAGAGTAGTATGTATTTATCCTAAAGCAAAAATTAAGAAGTTTCAGTCTTCAAGTTCAGTCTAATCACAAAAATTTGCTTAAAGATTAGACAATTAAGGAAAACAGGTAGAAGTAGAGTAACAACTATAACAATTTTAAAGAGATTTTATGGGAAAGAGGGGGTGGGTATTTTGGAAAATGACAACTACCTTGGTGAATAAGTTAGACCCACAACACATGGCAACTTAATAGCTAGTTTTGCAAAAAAAAAGAAAGAATGTGAAGACCACCTGGTAAAGGACTCTGGAACAGGAGACTCTCCCTCTCCAGGAAGGGCTAACAGAAGAACTGAATCATCCAGGGGTCCTGATGTTGATAACTCTTCACTTGCTATTTACTTTATTGATCCAGTGATTCTGGTGTAAATAGCACTTTACTGACACACATGGACAGTGTGAAGAATTCTGCTTAAGAATACTGTAATGATAGGGTTTGATGTATAAAACATTCCAGGAGTAACCCCTGTGCATTGCCGGGTGTGACCCAAAAAGAAAAAAAAAATTCCAGCACTGCACCCTCCACCAGTGACCTTTTCCCTTCACCATTTTCCCTGAGTGTCTTTGTCATTGGGTTTCCCTCCCCATCACCTAGGCTTCCTACTAAAGCCCAGTTCTTAGTTTCTGTTGCCCTTGGGCATTTGTTTTTCTCCTACGTTTCTTTATATGCTTTGTGTCATTCTGTTTTGTTTATTCATTCTCTCTCATTTTTGCCCTAAAAACATACTTTTTTTAGGGCACTTGTCTGGTTATCTTCTTACTGACTGTTTCTTTCTTTCTTTTTTTTTTTTTTTTTTAAGATTTAAGCACCTTTTGAGGGAGGGAGGGGATGGATTTAGTGACACACTGGGCAGTGCTTAAGCTTGTTCCTGGCACCTAAGTGTGTCAGCATAATTGATAATAGTTGGCTATGGGAAGTTATATTTTTGATGACTTCTTTTCCTTTTTATTACAAAGTAATGATATATCATTGTAGAAAATATCTGGAGCGATAGCACAGCGGTAGGGCGTTCGCCTTACAAGCGGCCAACATGGCCGACCCCAGTTCGATTCCTCCGCCCCTCTCGGAGAGCCCGGCAAGCTACCGAGAGTATTCAATATGCCAAACACAGTAACAACAAAGTCTCCAATGGAGATGTTACTGGGCCCGCTCAAGCAAATCGACGATCAACGGGAGGGCCTTTACTTTACTTTTACTTTACTTTATCTATTAGAAAAATGTAAAGTATGTATATAATTTTTCATTTCTCCTAGATTTTTTTTCTCTGATGGACATACTTTTTTTCATTTGTCATAAACCTATCTTCTTTACTACTTCAATCCAGTATGTCACTTCATTGATTTTCTCCCCATTGGTTTTTTAATTGAAGTCTGGCCTTTTCTGAGGGACAAGGAAGATGGGCCCCCTTTCATACTCTTAAAGGTTTTTCTTTTCCAGTAGTTCAGATGAGTATCTTTTATTTTGTGTGTGTGTGTGTGTGTGTGTGTGTGTTTTGCTTTTTGGATCACACCCAGTAATGCTTGGGGGTTACTCCTGGCTCTGCACTCAGGAATTACTCCTGGTGGTGCTCGGGGGACAATATAGGATTCTGGGAATCGAACCCAGGTTGGCCGCATGCAAGGCTAATACCCTACCCGCTGTACTATCACTCCAGCCCCAGATGAGTGTCTTTTAGAAGTTTGTTTTGTATTCCTAACCTTTCTTTCATACCCTTCTTGTAACATAAATGTAAATTGTTAACATAAATTCTAAAGTTTTGGGCTGGAGCGGTAGCACAGCAGGTAGGGCATTTGCCTTGCACGAGGACAACCTGGCTGACCCGTGTTCGATTCCTCCACCCCTCTCGAAGAGCCTGGCAAGCTACCAAGAATATCTCCCCCACACAGCAAAGCCTGGCAAACTACGTACTCGTGATGTATTCAATCTGCCAAACACAGCAGCAACAAGTCTCTCAATGGAGACATTATTGGGCCCACTCGAGCAAATCGATGAACAATGGGAGTATAGTGCTACAGTGCTAATTCTGAAATTTTATTATCTACCTTTTGTTGAAATTTATGAACAACAAATGTAGTTTTAGTTGGAATTAGGTGAGACATTTCTGAAATGCTTGTGTTTTATATTCATCTCTCAATTTGATTTTGTGTTTTCTGAGCTAAAAAATGTAAAAGTTGAATTTGTATCTTACATGATGATAACTGTGCATTCAGATAAACCTGTAAAGAGTGCAGACAGTAATATTCTTCCTGGTTTGATGCCAGTTTTTGAAGTATACAATCTGTTTTTTTGTCCTTAAATAAACCTTTTGTTCTGGTTTAATTGCAGGGTGGTGGTTTTGGAAAGCAGGCCAACAGAAAACCCTACTGCACACAGCAATCTTTATATCTTGGCTGGACATGAAAATAGCTACTGAGCAGAAGAAACTGATCTTAAATGTCAGGAAAATGAATATGCTCCATTGAAAGCAAAAATATTTTAAGGATATTTCAGTATATAAATACACTATGATTTGCATTAATTGTTAGGGGAATGATCTGTACTTTAAGGTGGAATTCAATATTTTCTGTAGCTGGAAACAGCTATTCTATCTCTTGCCACTGTGTGGTGGTTATATCAAGTTTGCTTAATAAAAGCTATGAAACAAGTAGTCCTCTAGTTCTAGGAAACAGTCTTTTTAAAAAGATAATGTTTATAACAAGGGTGCCATGATATTTTTAGATTACAGTTCGTGTGATTCTCTTCAAAGAGATAAACTTAGTGACAGGTTTTTATTTTATACCATGTTTTAGTCTTTTCTTAATGAACATAATTTGATAAAGAAATTATCAGATAAGCCTTTTGCTTTTACATTGACCATTCTGTATGTTTTTGTAAAATAGAATATTTAATCCTTATTTATTAATCTCTTGCTGAAGTGGTGTAATGTATCTAACTTTTGGCAGAGGAGGGTTTGCAGCTTAAATTTTTTATGATGTATAAAAAAATTGTTTACCTTTTAAGAATAGTACTTTGAGGGGTTAAACGGCAGTTTTGAGATTCAGTACATACAATTTTGTTTAACACAAGTATTTTTTTGTAATACTGTATCATGCAGAGTTGCCATGAGAAGAGGTTTTGTGTTTTCAGCTGCAGGTAGTTTTAGGAGATGTACACAGAGACACGATACACAAGAGACTGATGATGGTTGAAATATTGTTAGAAAGGGTGTGTATAGGTGTGACCACCATATATATATATATGTATGTATTCTTGACAAGCAGTGTAATACACCTGTGATTTTTTTTTACATTAGGGATATGCATAAGAACTTAATCTTCATATATATTATCATCCCTAGTGTGGGGGGTGGGGAGTATTTAACTGCCCATGATATGTATTTTACTTATACTATGCGAATGGGGAAACTGTTAAGCAGCTACACTTTTATTCTTGGATTTTTCACATATGTAGGTATGCATTTTGAGTGGGTTGGGGGGGTGGGATTTTACCTGAAATTGAGTTCCTGGTGGGTTAGTAAATAAGTATTATAAAAATCAGTGTTTCAGTAATAAGGATAAGATCAGTTTCGAGCTGGCTTCTCTTTTGCAATTGATGGTATTTAAAGTGGTACATGTTATCTTAGTACACTTATTGAAAACAGAATTGAGATGAAGAACAAAAGGTTACCAGCAGCAAATTATGGGTTTATTCTGACCAGTTACATATGAGGAAGAAAGTAGAACTGTCTCATTCCATTTTTTCAGCAAGTCTGTGAAAAAGGTGTCATCTCCATTTTTCAGTTGAGGAAATAGCAGTATAGCAAGGTCAAGAGACTTACCCTGTTCCTACGGCAAGTTAGTGGTTGAGCCAGATCATGAGTCTTCTGACTCTGTTCTTTTCACTATGCAAACAATAAAATGTTATAAAATTAAAATATAAATTATTTGTCTTTTTTTGTTTTTATAATTATTGAGGTTAACTAGATTTATATTGGTGTTAATATTTATGCTTTATCTGTTACTGCAGAGATTTTTCTGTAAGCATCACTGTCACTGTCACTGTCCTCCCGTTGTTCATCGATTTGCTCAAGCGGGCCCAGTAATCTCTCCATTGTGACAATTGTCACTGTGTTTGATGTATCGAATACATCACGGGTAGCTTGCCATGCTTTGCCGTGGGGTGAGATACTCGGTAACTTGCCAGGCTCTCCGAGAGGGGCAGAGGAATCGAACTCAGGTCGGCCATGTTGGACGCTTGCAAAGCAAACGCCTTACCCGCTGTACTATTGCTCCAGGTCTTCTGTAAGCATATGACTGTTAATTTGAGGTATATTAAGGGGGGCCAGAGGACTGAGGGACAGTGGGACAGTAGATGGCAGAAGATCCTATTCAAAGCAGGAAATATTTCCATAACGGACGCAAGAACCAGTATCTTCCTTTCTTCCTCTCCCTATCCTTTCAGCCAAAACTTCCTCTCTCAGTGGTATTGAAGGAATGTAATTGGCCGGTGCCAGTGCATCGACAATGGCATCAGAGTTGTGCTGGCTAAGCCACCCTGCTGCACAACTGCAGTGAGAGGCAGAGATGCCATGCCCATTAGTGTCCTCATTCCTGAGCTTGCAGTCTTGGGTCACAGTACTAGTACAGAGTGCAGGGTCTTTACCTTGCATATGCTCAACCCAGGTTCAATCTTGACATCCCATATGGTTCCTGCAAACCCTCCAAGACTGATTCAGAGCACAGGGCCAGGAGTATGCCCTGAGCACCACCGGATGTGACTCAAAAACAAAACAAAAAACAGCTTGGTGTCTCTTAGTCCTGCTTATTAAAAATGAGCAAACAACGGGCTAGAGAGAGAATATGGCAGATAAGGCATTTGCCTTGCATGAGGTCGACCCAGGTTCAATTCCTGGTACCCCATATGGTTCCCTGAGCTCACCAGGAGTGATCTCTGAACACAGAGCCAGGAGTAAGCCATGAGCACTGGACATGTTTTGGGTATGGCCCAAAAACGAAATAACCTTCCCCCCCAAAAAACAAAAGCAAACAACCCAGAGGCCTACAAGCATCAGAGAAAAGTTGTAATTAAATGGGAATATAAATGATAAGTTAACTAGGTTATTTTTATTCTTAAATGAACTAATATTTGTAAATGTTTTATCAAGGAGAAAAAAAATACACCATGGAACCAGGCTGAAGAAAATAGGAGGTCGGCGGGGGGTGGGGGGGAACCTTCAAAAGGATGTTGCAACTGTAAATCAAGAGTCACGATCTCGATCATCCTGTTGTTCGTCAATTGCCTTGAGCAGGCACCAGTAACATCTCCTTCATCCTAGCCCTGAGATTTTGAAAAGTGCCATATTCAACGCTGTTTCAGGTTTAGGAAAATGAGACCCATCATTGTTACTGGTATTTGGCATATTGGGTACGCCACGGGGAGTTTGCCAGACTCTGCCGTGTGGGCAGGCTACATTCGGTATGAATCAAGAGTATGATACTTAATAGATCACTTTCAAAAAACAGAAAGCTCTTAGAAAATGTGGTTGTGTGGCTGAATAATTTGATGGAGGACTTAAACAGTTGAATATCTCAGAAAACCAAAGAAAAATAGAAATACCAGAGAAAAAATGAAACAGGTCTAATATCTGATCGCTAAGTGTTCCTTAAAAAAGAGAAACAGATAAAATAGAGTTTTCAAGAAATTTTTTAGTATTGAATAAGCTTCTAGATAAAAGAACATGGTTGAAAAATGCAAACCCCTGTACCACTGTACTATGAACTTTCATGGGCACTAAAGTAATGAGCTGTGTTGCAGCTCACTATAATCCAAAGAAAAAGAGTAGGGTAAGTACCGAGAAGTTTGAATAGCATTAAATTTCAACAGAAGCAATATATTCAAAATTGTGGCAGAATTTTCAAATGTAAAATTTTGAATCTAAGCTGTTAAACCAAAGATCAAAATGAAGACATTTTTTGTTGTACATGATCTCAAAAACTGCCTCCTATGTCCTTTTCTTTTGTAGGAAATTACTATAGGGAGGTTGTATTTCATCAAAATAACAGTCATATACCAATCAAGGGCTGGAGCGATAGCACAGCGGGTAGGGTGTTTGCCTTGCACACAGCCAACATGGCCGACCTGAGTTCGATTCCTCCACCCCTCTCAGAGAGCCTGGCAAGCTTCCGAGAGTATCTTGCCCGCACGGCAGAGCCTGGCAAGCTCCCCGTGATGTGTTCAATATGCCAGACACAGTAACAACAAATCTCACAACGGAGATGTTACTGGGCCCACTCGAGCAAATCGATGAACATCGGGAGGACAGTGACAGTGATACCAATCAAAATGAAGACAAAAGATAGAGAAAATAGTATTTGGTACAGGAGAAAAAGATCTGAAGAAAATTTCCCCTGATGCTGATGGGATTAACCAACACTGCACCAAGCACAGAGAACATACCAGAAACCACACTTTCAGAAAGATCAGGAAACTTCCTGATACATGTCAAGGCCTTAATAATCATTTAGGGCCAGAGACTTTGCTCATGGGACTAAGCTGTGGGAAACCCAGGTTAGGTCCTCAACACCCCAGGCACCACAGCACATGGCTCACAAAATTAAAAATGTAACATAATAGAGGTTAAATGGCAAAACGTTAAAGGTTCCTCCTGAAACAGCCAGAGAAAAGTGCATTAGTATGATCATTTATGCAAGGGACCCGAAAATAGAGAACTTGAGATGGAATAGGAGGAAAGGTCTTGGGAAGTACATGCAGATGGGGGTAGTTCGCCATGCAGATAGGGGTAGTTTGCTTCTACCTCATCTAAGAAATTTGTGATACTACTTATCACCCTCCCCCACATACACACACACACACACACACACACACACACACACACAACACAGTTGTCTCCTGGGAGACAAGTGATTGTAACATTTGTCTAGACTCCTGTTTGAGTTGCTCCCAAGGGATTCTCCTGAAGTATCAAGTGCACCTTAAATGTCAGAGAAGCCCAGAGGCAGGAAACTGAAAGTGTGTATGTGTGAGTTTGTGCCCCTAGTGAACTGCCTCTGACAGGAATCAAAAATAATGGAATGTATTCAAGGTTCCATAGTTCAATAAATGATTACATTGTTGAGAAAAAACGAAGATTAAATCAAACTAGAAGTTATTGAGTCCAGGAAAGCAAAAATGTTTTTTTAAAAAAATAAAGTAGTAGACTATATCCCTAAAGAAAACAAAGCAGCTGGAAAGAATATAGCAGGTAGGGCATTTGTCTTACATGTGATAGACCTGGATTCAGTCCCCAGCACCCCATGAAGTCCCCTGAGCCTCTCCAGAGTAAAAGCTGAGTATTGCCCGGTGTGACCCAAAATCTGAAGAGAAAAATACAAAACAAAGGTTGGGGTGAATAGTGAAGAGAAAAGGCACATGCTTTTTATGGGGTACCATATGCCCCTCCCCAACACAACTGGATATGCCTGCCACGCACCCCCCCCCCCCCGTCCCCCCTGCAACATGACAGGCACCACTGGGCCCAAGCACCACTACAATCCTAGGTCCCCTATCAGCCCAGCAACATGGTTAGTCAAGAATCACTGGGAGTAGCCCACAGCCCCCCCAATCACTGCTTGGAAGGCCTCCAAAAAAGATGGGAGTGAGCTCTGCTTCCAAGATGAACAAGAGAACAATGGGCAAGCCAATAAGGGCTATGTGCAGCACCAGCTGCACCTGCTGTTTGCCCTAGGACACTGCAAAGAAGTTTGTCATTTGAAACATCATGGAAGCCGCTGCTGGGAGGTGTATTTCTAGCGTGACTCTTTTATTCTGCAAGTGAAGTTGCACTGCTTGTTGTGCCATCCAGGGCAGTAAGGAATCGTTCTCATGAAACCTACAAGAACCAAATGCCCACACAGGCCTTCCCATGCTGCCCCAAGACCTCCACCACAGCTCATGTAAAACATCTAGAGGCCCTAAGAACTGAAGAAAAACTCCTTTAGGGGAAAATAAGATGGAAATTTTACTTAAAAGAGTAATAATAATGGTGAAAGATGGGAGTGAAGAAGATTTCAGGCAGAGGAAATTGTATCAGCAAAGAATGAAATGGAGAGGCAAATGGTCCTGTATTCTTTGCTCAACCTCTCATTGTGATGCATTTTTCAACGGGAAAGAACAGAGCTCATTAAAAAACAATAATCTGGCCTAGGAGTCCACACGGTGTCCCTGTACACTTAGAAGAATCCATTCCCCAAGACTTTGGTGCAAGACCCTTCCAAAGGAGACAGACATTCCTGGGCAAGAGAATGTTTGCCTGAGCTTGCTCACCCCTTGACCAGGGAGGATAAAATACCTTGAACTAAGTCCCTCTGAGGCACCTGCAACAGAAGGAGGAAAGGATGTTGGGTTTTCTTTTTTTTTTTTTAAATATATGTAGCAGTACTGCTATTTATTCAGCAGTACTGGTATTTATTTTTTTTATATGTAGCAGCACTGGGCTGGAGTGATAGCATAGCGGGTAGGGTGTTTACCTTGCACGCGGCTGACCTAGCCGACCCGAGTTCGATTCTTCCGCCCCTCTCAGAGAGCCGACAAGCTACTGAGAGTATCTCACCCACATGGCAAAGTCTGGCAAGCTACCTGTGACGTATTCGAGATGCCAAACACAGTAACAACAAGTCTCACAATGGAGACGTTACTGGGACCGCTCGAGCAAATCCATAAACAACGGGAGGATATTGCTAGTGCTAGCAGTATTGCCATTTATTCAGCCATTAATTAAGCTGATTGAATTGGGATGAACTCCACATTACTTTTTTTATGCAGAATGTTAATTTTATTTTATTATTGCATTATTATGTCCCCCCACCCCTTTATTTGATTCCTTGTGAGAAACAGTTACACAGCTTTCATGTTTGAGTTTTGGTCATACAATCATCAAACACCTATCCCTTCACCAGTGCACCTTTTCTACTACCATAATCCCCAGTATTCCCCCTCCCCCACCCCTGTTCCACCCCTTCCC